GTACGCTCCGGTTACCTCACTCACCTTGCGAAACGCAAAAGTGTAACACTTCCACTTTACACCGGCCTTCTGTGAGGTCGTGGGCCGCGGATGGACCTGCCCATTCGTGTAACCTTCCGTGAGGCTGTGGTACATCCCTGGACGAGCTTCGCCACTCGTACAACTAGTACTACTATACTACTGAATAGTGAAGGAATTGCCATGCACGCGTCATATAATATAACTCATACGTCTGATAACTCTAATATTAATACGGGCTCACACACCTTACAGTTACATTAATAAATTTTACTTTTTGTCCATTAAGAAAAGAGGGGTGAAGATAAGCAGCTAAAAGAGTTAAATCTCTTTCAGGTTGGCAAAGCCATTTTGAAAACAAAGTGTTTTTCCGCGACCAAACGTATTTTGACATTGAAATATGGTTATATAATTTGATTTCTCATTCGATGTAGTAAACTTTTTTTATCACAAATACTAAAATTATACGATGTAAATATATCTTAAGGTTATGTAAACAAATCCTAGCTTACGTTTTTATAAGACTCCCAAGGAGCGTCAATTATAAAGAGTTATCGATAAACCCAATTATCGTCTCAAACAACGCAACTACTCCTTAGGAACAATTCTAAACATCTCGAGTATAACACTCTAAAAAGCGTCCATAAATAACCGGGTTCAATGGCACCCATACAGGAAATAGAAATGGTAGCTGTTTCTTACGACATCTGTCAAAATGTTCGCGCCATTTTGATTTGTGATTGTTGCGTGTGGGATATTACGGCGTTCCCGGCCATCCGATTAAAACAGTCGATGTAATTTTAACCTAGGTGACAATAAAACGTATGGTACAGAGTGTCCATATCTTCATTGACATTCTTCGATTCACGTAACAGCTTCAAAATTAAAGAAAAGAAAAAAGTAAAGGAAACGATGAGATTTTTAATATCCTCCTCTTAATTGTAATCAAAACAAGTCCATCACTACAGCATGTCAAACACATGTAATAACAATTATAATAAACTAATAACATAATAATAAATAACAATTTAACACACACATCTATTTAAAATTTTTAACTGGCGTAGCGGGAAGTTTTTGAAATTTCACACAGGAGTAACTATTAGACACGGACTTTTGACAAGAAACACTGTTAAACATAATTGTTTAACTTTTATCTGAGTATTATTATAGTAGTATTATCTGAACTAAAGATGAAACATAAAATCTTAACCTTTAAACGAGCAATTCTTGTATATATATATAATCGGAATCTCGAAAACGGCTCCAGCGATTTTCATTACATTTAGTATGCGTAGATTCGGGGGCGAAAAATCGATCTAGCTAGGTTTCATTTTTAGAAAATTTCCTTTTATCCCTGTTTTCAGGGAATGAAAAATATCATTCGAATATGACGGTAAATTTCGCCGCAAAAAAAAGTTATAATAGCTCGGTCGGTAATCGGGCGGCCCCGAAACAGAAGGCTGTGGTTCGTGTCACGATCATTTACACATTTATTTTTTTACTTTTTTTTCGATTAATCTTTTGTTATTTTGTTATTTTTTTCCAATTTTTTTTAAAGTTCTTTCTTTTGTGAAAAACATCAGTTCATATTTTCTTATTATTACGTCGGTAAGATCGAAAAATATTATGCATATTTCATTACTCAGTAATTTGTATCTCAATGTAATTTCCAAAACACACGATTTACCAAAAAAAAAGCAAACCCAGCAAAGCTAAAGCATTTTATCTACACAGTACCCGGTCCTCCGGGTACTGTGTAGATAAAATGTCGAAAAATAACTTCGCCGCCGGCAGGACTCGAACCTGAGCCTTCGAGTAACGCCCAGACATTCAAAGCATTAAGGTAAGGGGTTTTTACCCTCACTGCGGAAACTGGCCGGTTACAATGATAAAAAGAATGGAAATGACGTTAGGTTAGGTTAGGTTAGACCGAATACTAGTTAGTTAAACCGACACAGCACTGCCCTCGGCCTTTTGACGACCCGATTGGCGTAGTAGGTAGTGCACCTGCCTCTTGCGCCAGAGGGTGTGGGTTCGATCCCCACTACTGCATAAATATTGTGTGATGAACATGGGGTTTTTCCAGTGTCTGGGTGTTTATATGTTTATAATATGTAGATATTTATTTGCAAAAGAAAAGTATGTTTAAGTATGTTTATCAGTTATCTAGTACAAGGGTTGCTTAGTTTGGGACTAGAGAACGTTGTGTAAAAATGTGTCCAAAATGTTTATTATTATTATTATTATTTATTATAAATATTTACTATGTACCGATAAAGCAGCTCTAACATGAAACTATTTCTATTTGGCCCAACGTATCAGAAAAGTGATAACAAATTAATTTCTCGCGGCAAATACCACAAAACAATTTCTTTAAATGTCGTGTTGACGAAATACAAGAAATAGACTTTCGACACGAGTGTATCCAAAATGTGTCGATGGCCGCCATAAATAGCTTCACAATGAGCACAAATATTTCCGTGGGGCCCTTTTAACCCGAACCGCGCCGCATTCCCTCACGCCCGCAGGGTCAATTCGACCCCGACCCAAAGTATACAATCCTCGGTATATTGTTTATTTATTGCCAACTCATAAACCTGTGATAAAAGCGATTGTCATATGAATCCTACCGAAGCGGCGTACTGCATTTATTACACACGAAAAGTATAGCGAAGGTATTCAATAAAATAATAATAAAACCGGCCAAGTGCGAGTTCTATCTATAAAAAAGGCAAAAAAAACTCATATCTGTCGTCAGTATGGGACTTAATTATATTTTTATTCTGTTTTAGTATTTGTTGCTATAGCGGCAACAGAAATACAATTATCTGTGAAAATTTCAACTGCCTAACTTTCACGGTTCATATACAGCTTGGTGACAGACGGACAGACAGACAGCGGAGTCTTAATAAGATACCGTTTTACCCTTGGGTTACGGAACCCTAATAAAGACAAGGTAACAGACCTATTCCATAACGACCTCTTCATTCATATGATCTATTCATATGGATTCATATCCACTGCCGATGTTAAATCAACGTGAAGCAAACGGCGGTAATGAAGTAAAGTCTATATTCTACGAGCTGGTAATTGTGTCAGGGACAATATCGTCCTGTGTCCACTAATCCGTCTAATTGAAACGGCCATTTGTTTGCCATTTTATTTATTACTCGAGGACAGACGCCCAGAGAGGAATGATTTGCTATTTTCGTGTCGAAACTAGCTTTCACTCGCGACTTTGTCCGGTCATTTTCCAAGTATATTAACTGTACGGGATGAAAGTATACTCCGTGTTAATCCATTTCGAATCACAATAATTCGGAAATCGGAAGTATATTGCTACCGAAATCTTCAAGTTCTGCGGAGGAAATGCTTGCCAAGCGAAAATGTAGCTCCATATAGAGTAACAAACGTTGCTTAGTGAGACAATATTGTTTTTTACAAATCTAAAACTTTCAACAGTCGACAATCTTTAGCCATTTCTTACTTCGAGCTTTTATTATCCAGGTAACAATTATCACTCTACCTTTCCATTAAAATCGTTCTATCACCTATTTTACTAATTAAATACAAATTACGTAGAAATTGATTTCAACACGCCATCTTATAGCACGGCAAGTATAGATACATCCTATATTATATTAGCATTAATATGTTAAATATAATTCAGCTGGGAGTTTTCCAACTTAATTAAATTATATACATGAAAAAGTAGTGGACTCAAGGCCCAGTAGGTGCTTAATTATAAATTTTAATTAAGTTGCTTTGAGTGACACTCATATGTGTCAAGGAAATATATATATTGCAACTATAATGAAAATGCAGCGTGCTTTCATGTAGCCACTCAGTTAATTGCAAAGATCAAATAGGGAACAGACTCGTCGGCAGAGCATAAACTTTTATAATTAGCTAGGTAACTCTCAAAACCTTTTGGGGAGACTGTAGTAGAAAACCAGTTTGAAAGGCAATTGGTACCAAATTTGATTAAATGATTTTTAGTTATTCTTTTTATTAGTTCTTTTCTTAATAAATCATCCTAAATTAAAATAAAAATTCACTGAAAACTCACACGTCAAGCAAATACTGTCACGGATTAAAGGCCGATTAAAATATCTTTTCGCTGCTGATATTTTTTTAAAAGAATTCTCTGGAGCATAAATATTATAAGATCTGTATTTACATTAATTCATTCGGTTCAAAATTATCTTTAACCATGATTCGAATGATACCGTTTATGCTCGCGTACTCTGTGGCCAAATAGGAAGTGTACTCGTGACAGAATGATTGCTGGCAGGCCGCAGAAAGGGGGCACATCAATTAACGGTAATTAAAACTACGGACAAAGCGGTTGGGTGCATGTGTTTGTGCCCCTATGCGCTGGGCCGGCGACTAGGTCAAATGGTACTGGGCCATTATGACGAACGACTTTACCTAGTAACGGGAATGACTAATGCATCACGTTAAACCATTTAGCTAGGTACTGTAGACTTTATACAGGCTCAGTGGCCGAAGAAGCGACCGTTCCATAGAATTAAGAATGAAAACATCGTCAGACACAGATTGAGAAATTGGTTCACGTGCCGCTCGTAAAATGAGGGGGGGCTTCCCGCCGGTCTTCTGTAAGGGTGTGATTCATACCTGAACGGACTTGCCCATTCGTGCAACAGGGAAGACTGTTGCGTGGCCCTACCACGGTTAAAACTGTGCTACTGTAACGATGGCAGTGTTGTTAATATATGCACTCAAATTTCTTCCTAATCAGATTGCAAAGTATACTCTAGAAAATTAGAGATAAGCGAACGTTTTAAAAATTTTGCTGTTTAATTCTTAATTAAACTTCTTTTGTATGTTCCCGTGAATACAAGAAATCGTTACGGCTGAATAGCAGTCGAAAACAACACAGTTTATAGCCAAAGCGATCTTCGAAGACAGTGAGTTTCAAAGTACTAAATTCGCTTTGTTGGAACCGGCATGACATAATGGCGCTCCCTATCAATATTCATGAGGCGTGTTGTGACCGACACGCTGTCTTCCCCTGGCCGATTTGTATTCCAGAAGCTTCCCAGGACAGGCGTCGCGCTGCGCTGACCATATGCGACAAAAGTTAGGGGATAGCAGATAATTAATAGCGAATTCAAACCTATCGATCATATTGGCTTTAATTAGCACGTCGCAATCGGTTACCTAATATGAAATAACAATCGGTATGAAAAACACCTATTGAAAAGGAGTTAGTGAAAAGTTGATTAAAAAAAAAACAATTAATTTTAGTATTTTTAAAGTACTTGTCAATCTCAAAATCTACCACCGGTCAGTTAGTCACCTATGAAAAATTTGGACATGTCGATTGACAAATGCAGGAAAATAATTAATGCTAGCAAATTTGGCAGCAAGATTATGGAGGATGTGGCAAACGGGCAAGCTTTTTTTAATACTGTGGTAAGGAGACGCAGAAATCTTTAATGCTGCTAATACGAATGGGCAGGCCCGAATCCCTACCAGGCTGGCAGGGCCACGCAACAGTTTTCACTATTGCACGAATGGGCGGGTCTGTCCGGATAATTACCACGACCTCACAGAAGACCGGCGTAATGTAGAAGTGTTACACTTCTGCGCTTCGTCTGGTGAGTGCGGTAGCCGGGGCCCACTTTATTTAAAGGTGGCACGCACTTACAACCCTACTGATGTTGCAAATGACCGTGGGTGGCGGTTATTACTTAACATCAGGTGAACCGCCAGCTCGTTTGCCACTTTTTCACATAAAAAAAGCTTCCGGGGAATAATATCACCTGAAGAACAGAAGACCGGTGTGAAGCGAAAGTATTATACCCACTTTAAAATGTCTTCTTAAGCACAGATTAGCATTAAAAACATCGCAATGCCGGACTTCATGCTATTCAGTTCTAGGTTCGTGTTCGTTAAGAGTTGTGTATATGCTGTTACTTTACTGGTGAAAATTAGTATAGCAAGGTTTGAATGCGCTTACTGAAATTATTCCATATGGTCGAAAACGAGTGCATCACTTACCAAGTCAAATCTCCACACATATCGTTAGCTTAGATAAGCTCGATCAAGCCCGTAATGTTTCCCGTCGACTTCAATAGACGACCGTTAGGTCCTTGTATGGTTAAGCTAAACACGACGTATCAGCGACCAATCTGGAAACAATTTGAGTTATTACACGGGTTATTGTGGGGCCCGGCTGACAGGCACACGCCCGTTTGGATGGTGCAAGTAGAAGAGCTAGCGATTATCGAAAATAAGTGTTTTTGATAATTATATTTTCCGAAAGCTAATTTGTTCTGTTTAATGATTAGGTACGATAGAAAACAAAGCAACAACATATTTTCTATATATTTATTAATGAAATGCACGGATTACGTACTTATTTTAAGAACGTTGAATAATTAAATGTTATTGTCGCCAACTACAATAAAAACGTGTAACTTATAAGAGTTCTAACGTTTTTACCTTGATCCTAATATTTTAACTTTTACTGAACTTGAATATTAACAACTTTTATAATGACAAGCAGCACTAGTGGTTATATCACCGTCCGTCAACGCGGCCGTAATCCAAGTGATCGCTGCTACATGCGACCATGTGTCCCTTGACTCGAGTAGATAACGTCATATCCGATATACAGTGTTGCCAGTGCCAACAAACCAATTACAGTTTCTTACAGAAAAAATCTGATATAACTATTTACTTCAGTAATTTAATGCTTTAAAATACTATTAGAGTTAATAATTTATGTAGTTGCCCTCGAATTGTTAATTTATTTCATTATTCCTGTGATTGAATATACAGAAGAGGAATTTCGTTTAAACCAGTTTTCCTAGGACATCATAATGTAACATAGAGATATGCGTATCAAATATTGAACTGGTTATGGAGCCAAAACGCCTCTTTGCTACGTCAGTAGGATCTTAATGAAATGTCGCAACAATATTAAAACTACGAAAGCTTTTGAACAACCCACTACCTCACAAATAAATTAGGGACAAAGGCAATAAATGCATCAGATAAAGCCTTGTGTGGTAATTGGTATGAATGTCTATAAGAAATTTCATGTGTAAAATGTATATAGAGAAATTTTACTTATTAATTATTGAAAAATCTACCGAGTAGAGAAAATTCCATTTAAAGTATATTAGTAGTATTTTTACTAATCTCGCCAACTCTCGAAAATTGTACCACGCGTAAAAGCTAGCACCACTCGCTTTACCAAATTCGGATAGAAGCACGCCGTATAATAGCTTAGGTGAGTGTACGAGCCCTTTATGGGAAATACACGGTCTATGTAAATCTCTTTATTGAGCTAAGAACCCCGAAGAATCCTCGTGGGCGTTACAGCAAAATGATACTGTAACTGTTTAGTTAACGCGTTGGAACCTGTTATTTATCGGCTTTAAACGGTGTAGTCGGTTTTATGTTTCAATAACTCTAGTTTACAAATATTCAAGGCCTAAGATTGCAATTAATTAACAAGTCATTGTTTCGAATACCGAAACAACTGTAGAAGTTGGAAGGTTTTGTTTGTCTACTCTTTAGTTTTCATTTGATTTTTTTATGTCACAAAATTTCTTTTATATGTTGCTACTTAAAACTAAATATTTTCTGCATCGCCACTGAAAAGATACGAAACGTAATGTTTTGATAACCTAAGAACGTTACCATAAATGGAATCCTTTATTTTAATTATTTCTTCCTTCGTGATCGCCAGTTTCCAATGCTCAAGCAAAATCACAAATAAGTCGAAAATCGAAAAATAAATTTGACTGAAACATCGATAATTTAGATAATACAGCTTCCATGGGAAGATCTGAAACTAGTTTTATACATGTATAATGTTCACGTATATATGAAGTCGTAAATTAGCTCAAACGGTTACTGACATAGCTCAGAGGACTAGTAGACTGAAGTGGCAATGGACTTGAACAGTCTGAAATGATGATGATATGGGGTTATTATGTCTCGTATTCTTTCATACATAACTGTACCTAGATACATACGTGGCGATGTGCCGGCCATATGGCTCGTAGAAACGATAGCCGCTGGGGAAGAAAGGTTCTCGAGTGGTAGCCTCGAACTGGCCATGCCAGTTTGGGATGACCCCCCACTAGATGGAGTGACGATCTGTGCAAATGTGTGAGAAGTGGATGCAGGTGGCTCAAGATCGTGATTCGTGGCAGCCTGTGGGGGAGGCCTTTGTTCAGCGGTGGACTCAAACAGGCGGAAATGATGATGATGATGATGATGATACATATATTATTATTATCAAGTTGGCTCTATTTCAGAATATCAATAGATTGTACCCTCTTGTTGCAGAAGCTCGACACTCGATGCACCGCCGCCAGTCTGATGACTACGACGTCCTCTCCGACGCGGCGATCGACGACGAGGCGCAGAACGACGGAGATGGAGGTATGTGTAAAGAGTACGGAAAGTATTATCGCCTTGTTAAAATTTGTATTTTATCTACATTGTTCTTTCGCATTTTAAGCAATGCTTGGCGCATTGCGCTTGATTACCGCAGCGGCGAAAAAGTTTTCGTAATTTTTTATAAAAAATTTAATCTTTAATCTTATGTGCAGAGATTAGCACTGAACAAAATTCAAACTTCTTCCTCTTCTTCTTTTATTTAAGAGCTAGGCTCTTGTTGGTGCAGCATCCATGCATCATTTTTTTTATGTGAAAAAAAGCAGCAAACGAGCAGGAGGCTCATCACCGCCGCCCATGGACATCTGCAACACCCGAGGGTTTAGGATCATAGGTTGCTGCTGTTTTAAGGAACAGAACAGTGCAGTAGATCCCTTATTACTTTCCGCACCGTACCAGAAGCCGGCGTACCGCCTTCGGATGACCTTATAATCTTCAAATACCCAAACGATGGGAAAGTAAACCAAACGTTTAACACGTGATCATATCCTTGCTGTGGGAACGAAATCCTTATTGTCAATACAGAATGTTAATGGTAAGGTTAAACTTGTGAAGAGAGAGAGAGAACGCTGTGAAGTGTAAACGGGACCCGCACTTTTTGGGTTCCGCATAAAGATATTATCGCTCTATTTGGATTTTTCAATCTCTATTAGTTAGTCGGTGACTGTAGTAACTTGCTCTCCGTAGCTTCAAAACAGCTACGGAGAGCGAGTAACTACAGTCACCGACTAACTCACTAAAAGATAAATTTTGCTAGATATATTATAATTATTTTTTTTTATGTGAAAAGTTGCCAAGCGAGCAGGTGGTTCACCTGATGTTAAATGAATACCACAACCCATGGACATCTGCTACACCCGAGGGTTTGCAGATGCGTTACAACCTTTTGAAAATTGGGCTCCTAGAGGTAGCCGGTGAGTGAGGGCTCACCAGACGAAAGGCGAAAGTATTATACTGCCGCTTTACGCCGGTCTTCTGTGAGGTCGTGGTACCTACCCGGACGAGCCTGCCCACTCGTGCAACAGCCGAGGCTGCTGCGTTGCCCTACCCCATTTCAGGGTAACTAACGCGTGTTTCATTTCGGGGTAACTAACGCGTGTTTCGTTGCAGGCAACGATGCGGATGAGGAACCGGAGGTGTCCGCTGTGATACTGACACAGCCGAGCCACTACAACGTCACGATCGGGCGCAGCGTGCGTTTGGAGTGCAAGGTGTCGCCAGCCGGTGAGTTAATTACATACATAGCTGTGATAAGGGCAGGATGGTGATGATGAAGTGTTTTGATATACATTACTTCATATAGGTTATGCTAGCGGCTTCGCCCAAGGCGTCCTTTGCAACAAAATTACTAGCTTGTAAATTCCATAATACGTTGCTTATAATTAGATAAATCATCGCCATTGGAATCACCAACACCATGAAAAGAATAGTTACTTGTAGTCGAATGTCGGTACCGTTTTTTTATAAATTTGAAGTCTGTATTAAAGTGCTTTAATATGTACTTATTCATTTAGTCCAAGAACTACTAATTTATGGACTTCCTTCCAACGTCCTCCGTAAATTATGTTGAAAAAAAAAAATCATTGCGCAATAAAAAAAGAATTGCGTAACGATACGCGTCACCACTTCCGGTGGCGCCAAAAGCGCGCGGCCATTTCCGGTAAACTGTTTAAACGATATGACGGCGTAGAGTACGCGGGAGTAATTGCCGTCAGCGTATTTATTATCTGAGACTGTTTTATCGTCTATGAAAAGTTTTCTTGAGATCTATGTAGCGACATTCCGAATACGTACTTTAGAATGCATTTTAGGAAAAACCTATGCGCACATATGTATGATTATTCCACATTTTAATCCTGTCTCATTAGAAGAGTCTAGAAAAGGTAATTATACTTCTTAATGTCTCCTCTGCCATGTAGTGCAAAGCTTTTCATTCTTACGTTAGGTAATCCATTCTTGATATGTTCGCAGAGGGCGCTGTTGTCCAATGGACCAAAAACGGCACGATGTACTTCTTCGGTACTATGAAGACGCAAGACCAGGTCGCCACATCGTACACCCAAGACAAGAGGATATCTATGTGAGTTAAATTACTAGATTTTCCATCGTAAAACTTGTGATGCTTTTGTAGTAACTTCATCGCAATTCACAAAATCATCTTGACCAGTCGGTCGGTCCATCTTTTGTAGCATCTTCTTGAACCTTTTTGAGGCTTATTTCAAACCTGTTCGCGAAGCGCCTATCAAAATCATCGCTGCAACTCGCACGACCTAATTTGCATGCTGTTACATTATGTACAACTGACAACTTACATACTTAATAGGTATTTTTTTTTAAATATTACTTACTTTTAAATACCACCAGTTTAGCTTGTTTAATTGCATACATTTTTTGTATATGTGTAGGTGGCAAGCGAGCTGGCGGTTCACATGATGTTAAGTGATAACCGCCACCCATGGACATTTGTAACACCTGCATGATCACAGATGCATTGACACCTTTTAAGAGCTGCTGGTTCACCTGATGTTAAGTGATAACCGCCGCCCATGGACATTTGTGACACCTGCATGATCTCAGATGCATTGACACCTTTTAAGAGCTGGCGGTTCACATGATGTTAAGTGATAACCGCCGCCCATGGACATTTGTAACACCTGCATAATCTCAGATGCATTGACACCTTTTAAGAGCTGGCGGTTCACATGATGTTAAGTGATAACCGCCGCCCATGGACATTTGTAACACCTGCATGATCTCAGATGCATTGACACCTTTTAAGAGCTGCTGGTTCACCTGATGTTAAGTGATAACCGCCGCCCATGGACATTTGTAACACCTGCATGATCTCAGATGCATTGACACCTTTTAAGAGCTGGCGGTTCACATGATGTTAAGTCATAACCGCCGCCCATGGACATTTGTAACACCTGCATGATCACAGATGCATTGACACCTTTTAAGAGCTGCTGGTTCACCTGATGTTAAGTGATAACCGCCGCTCATGGACATTTGTAACACCTGCATGATCTCAGATGCATTGACACCTTTTAAGAGCTGGCGGTTCACATGATGTTAAGTGACCACCGCCGCTCGTGGACATTTGCAAAACCCGTTGCAGGTTACAGATGCGTTGCCACCTTATAATAAAGTGAGCCCCGGCTACCTCACTCACCAGACGAAACGCAGAAGTATAACACTTCCACTTTAAGCCGGTCTTCTGTGAGGTCGTGGTACTTACACGGACGGATCTGCCCATTCCTGCAACAGCCGAAGCTGTTGCGTGGCCCTATCACAGTTAGTTAGCTTACATTCTCTATTTCCGTAGCCCGGCCAATTCAACGGACCTCTTGATCAGAGACGTGACCCTAGCCGACAGCGATACTTACAAGTGCCAAGTTCTGCAGACCAACAGAGCGGAAGTAGAACATACTCTGAACATCCTCGAGGCTCCGAAGATTGTCAGTGAGTATTGTTGCTATTTCTACCGGATGATGCGTTCTTCTCCAGACCTGGAGACTATACAGCGTGTCGCTACAACCGCGACAATGAATGAATACCCATTTAACACTACTTGCCAATAATCATAAAAAAATAAAAACGTTAATAAAATCCATAGTATCGAAAAAATATTTTTCAAACAAACTAATTAAATAATTTATTAAATAATTAAATTCTAAAATTCTTTGTTTTGGAAAATTTAATTACTCGGTAAATATTGATGTTTAAAGAATGTAAATGTTTCAAACAATTTTAAAAAGTTATCCTCTATAATTTTGTGTGTATATTTACATATTCCGATAAATCTTCATTCATCTTACCATCATCGTCGTTTTTTCAGCGTTGATCCACTTTGTTGTTTGAGTCCACTGCTGAACATAGGCCTCCTCCACAGACTGCCACGAAGCACGATCCTGACTCACCTGCATCCATCGACTTCCCTCATAATGGCCCTGGTCGTCGCTCCAGATGGAACTCCAGTGTTGGACGACCCCCCACTAGATAGTGGGAGGTCGTCCGACACTGCGATGGCCAGTACGAGGCTGAATTGATTGAAACAAACACTTGATTCTTTAGGGTTAAAGATCAATACCGTGGATTTCAAACGAAACTTTTCTCGTTTCAACTCCAAGGATCTTTCTAACGATATTAGAGTAGTATTTGTTTAATATATACAAGTAATACATGGTCCTTGTCGTAAGATATTACAGTTGACACTGTAATATCTTACTTTAAGCGAACAGAAATCACTCCCCCCCTCGCCTTGCACATCACAATGTTATTAGCTTTCTGCATGAAATGTGTCCTTCCTAATCTTGCAGAGTTCTCGGCCTCGAACGACGGGCAGGTGGTCGAAGGTTCGGATCTGCTGTTGACCTGCACCGCCGGCGGCTCGCCGCCACCCCAGATCATCTGGTCCAGGGACACCGGCAATGGGGTGAGTTTAGTTCCCCTTGCAGACGTCAAGCGAGCAAGCGGTGTGACAGCAATCTGAGAGAAATTGATCATACGCGGTGATCAATTTGGTAGTCTTTTTATTCACTTACAATTTTTTCTCTCTCTGCTCTCGTCTTAATGTTACTTTACCAAAAATTATTTTCGCAATCGTTGTCTGGAAGAAAATTCGCTTTCAGATCGATAAGACAGCGGTCTTAATAAGCGTATTGCAATGGTGATATATACAAATACGAGGTTGATATGACACTAGTGCACCGTTGGAAACTGAAGATGTAGAGTTTAGCATTTATCACGTTCCGTTATAACCAAAACCAAACCCACGTCAGCCTACAACTGGGCACAGAACATTAGGATAACGACATCGGACCAATTAGGGCTTAGACAATTCGTCTATCGCGGTTTAGCTTATTCGTTAAAACGTCTCGGCGCCAATCGAAGACGTGGGTTCGATTCCCACAGCGGCGAAAACTCTTCCTACTTTTTTTTTCACAAATTTTAAGGGATTCGTCTACTCTACACTATCCTAGAGCTCGGGAAGATGCAGCTTGCGGTATCGGACAACGAAGTCGGGTTGCGATAGCGTTCATAGTACAACATCCACTTGAAATGCTAACGAGGTATGTGAAGTGTAGTCAAGAGCTTACCGATATTTTTCAACCGACTTCAAAAAAGGAGGGTGTTCTCAATTCGACTGATTTTTTTTTATGTTTTTATGTTTGTTACCTCAGAACTTTCAATTGGGTGAACCGATTTTGATGATTCTTTTTTTATTTGAAAGCTGGTGCTTCCCATGTGGTCCCATATTAATTTCATTGGTATTGGATCTTGGGCTCCGGAGATACTTGAGAACTCCTGAAAATCAATTATGAAATTAATACAGAGCGAGATACTTGCAGTCGGTTTTGTTTTTCGTTAATAAAAAAAAAATAGACTTGTTTCCATTTACTCTCCACACAAATCAGATAGTTTGTTGTGATTGTTTTGTTATAACTAACTAACGTATTGTATCTCGTTTTGTTTTTTTGACCTTCTGCGAGGTCTTACATAGCCTTAGTTAGCCGAATGAGACATAACATCCATCGTACGCCTGTCAATCATTCGGTGTTAATTTTACGAAGGATAGTAACTTGTTCCTTTGCTTTTTACATTACAAGTGTGTAAGAGTTGGATTTCAGACACTATTTGTATACAATTGACAATATGTATAAATTACATATTGTCAATATATATATATATATAAAATTTAATTTCTTTACTCCTTGCAAATACAACAAATTATCTCCACATCCTGGTTGTCTATATCGGATCAACTCTTGTTATCATAATTTCAGATTTTGCAATAGACAATATGTAACTAAATAAAACAAAATAAATAAATACTTTATTAGGTACTTTATTATTAAGTGCACGGAGCCTAGCACCCACGTGCAAGGCCCGGTCACTCAATTGCTAGTTTAGTATGGTTTGGCACCGGGATTTTAACTGAGGTTTTCCGAGTATAAATTTGAAATCCGAGTAGAAGTTTTTTTTTTCTTTTTTTGGCAATGTTTTTAAAATTGCCATTACTTTAGGATAATATTATCCTGTATTGTAATGACGTTTTACAAACATAAAGTTGAATTAAGTGCGCAACAAGACACTGAGCCATCACGGCTTGTATGATTGACATATATGATATTACTTGTATGATATTACTAAAATTACTTTAATAGAAGTAATAAAAATATTAATAATTCTATTATAAATAAAATCGGATAGGTTCTATCAAAGGGACTACGGTAACGGAGGTAGTAATACGGTAATTTTGTGAGTACGAAATCGATAACGAAGAATATAAAATAAAAACAATCGACGCTTATTTGAGATAGGGAGTTTAGGTCTTCAATGAACAAGTTTATTAAATTAGGGTTAATTCAGTAACTATCGAAAACGTAGGCACATAGTTGATAGTGCTGCACATCGATCATGCGTTAGACAGAAGTTATCGATAGAATAGGCACAAGGGAAATTACCTTTAAAATGTTTCAGGCTGTGGCAACTCCAACCTTATTGCCCAGACATAAGGGTTTACAGTGTCACGTTGAGGGAACATTAACATTGTATCTAACGTCGTGTGTGGGTTTTATCAATAGAACGTTTGAAGATACGATTTTGATTGGCAGTGTTTACGTCACTAGAGAGATGTAGGAATGACGTTGGAGCAGTGAACGCTACTAAAACACAGAAGCGCGTTCGTACAAGTGATTGTTAATACATAGCACCGCAACTCTCACGTACAGTTATCACGCGCCGTCAAACAAAAATGAACTTAATTATTACTTCAACTAAGTCTACAACCCTAAAACCCCCTGGTACGGTTTATAAGCCCAGCGCCGTCACGGTATAGTTTTTCGTTATGTCATTTTGGAGCGACAATAATGTTTCCATGTTTATTTGCGTTCACTGCGTTGGAGTATTTCTGGTTGGTAAATAATTCTTTCTGGAATTTTCTCTATTCATTTGCGTGTTCGTTTAAGAGCCGTGATAGCTCAGTGTCCGGGCGCTCGCCTTTAATTCAATATACTCGAGCAACCTGAGTTTGATCCCCGGTGCCGGCAGCAATGAAGTTTTTTAACTTTAAGTGCTGACTTATCACGTGCTCCGCGGTGAAGGAAAACATAAAAACCTGCAAATAATAACAAAAAAATATATATTTCGAAAATATGTGAAGTCCGCCAACCCGCAGTGGGGCCGCGTGGTCGACTATGCCCTGACACCCTCTGTATAGAGGAGGCCTTTGCCCAGCAGTGGGACATGTATAGGCTGCTACTTTACTTTTTCTTTACTTTATTTGCGTGTTCATGACTTAGTGGTGGAGTAGCTAACCTATTCGTTTGGCTCCAGGAGTCGTAGGCGTGATTCCCATACAAGAATTTTTGTGACTCTGATAATTGTTCCGTATCTGGATGTTTGTTCCCGATGTAGGGTGTCAGCCGTGGTGGGTCCATGTAACAGTCTTTTCTGTTGCACCAAAGGGTAGGTCCGTCCGGGGAATACCGCTTTTAGAAATCAGCACCACAGCTGTCCCTTTCTTATTTGACAGAACGAGCGTCTGCAAGAGAAGGACGGCGAGTTCTCCATCAACAGCCTGTACATAAAGAGCGTAAAGCCCAGCGACGCCGGCAAATACTACTGCTACGCTTTCAACGGCCTCGGCAACAAGCAGTCAGAGATCACCGTTGTGGTGAAGAGTAAGTTCATCACCATATCGCATCACCCCATCATCTCACCACCTGATCACCTATCTTCCTGGCCCCTGTGTAAATACGCCGGCACTATTCTAAGCTTTCGCCGCTTAAACTTTCCATTTCTTTGAATATGTTATCACTTGGAGTAATATTAATAAAAATACATCAAAATATACTGAATTAATGTTGGTTCACCTACAACTGTAATGTTACAAAAGTTGTCATTTATTTTATAACCGGCATTTTTTTTCTAAAAAATATAAATAAAACGAACTGAAATATTAAACATGAGTATAATAACTTAAAAAGGGCATTTACTATAACTGCAAAATGAAGCTTACAATAAATACATTTATATACCCAGTCTTTGAGACAAAACTCAGTGAAATGAAAATATTACAGATTTTAATAAACCTTTGAGTATTAAAAAAGCAATAGAAGAAACTACCTACTCGAAGATACGTCTTTTAAACATAAAAGCGCTCATCAATCAGTCCCATTGGGTTCTGGTCGGTATGCCTTAATCATCTCTGTAAAGAGGAGTTTTTGCCCAGCTGTGGGACATATATGGGCACTTATATTCATCGGCTGTACTTTACCATACCTTTACTCTTTCAGGCAAGCCCCGCGTCCAAGTGCACAGGAATCTAATCAACTCTGCCATCAACGTGGAGGCTGTTCTTCAGTGCTACGTCCATGACGCCACCCCGTAAGTGAAAAGTGTTGGCAACACTATCGACATTACACTGCGACGATTGGAGTAGTTGGCAACATTATACAACGATTTTTGACAAACCGACAGGCATAGTGGTTAGCGTACCCGCCTCTTGCTCCAGCGGGTGTGGGTCCGATCCCCAGTACTGGAAAAATATTGTGTGACGAACATAGTGTTTTTCCAGTGTAGAGTACATATGAAAAGTATGTTTAAGTAAAAATACAAGTCACATAAAACGTTGTGTGAAAATGTGTCCTAAAATATATATTTATTACTACACATTTATTTTGTATAAGGCAACATTTTCTCTCTCTCTCTGCTCCTAGCTCCTGCGCCGGGTGCATGCCTCTGTAATATTTTACCCTCGAAGACTAAAAATTTCGTTATAATCGAAGAAACCAGCTACTTCATTTACAACATAAGTATAGTCCACGCCTGCACACACAATTCTTTTTCAGCCAGCGTGCGGTCCACCTGATGTTAAGTGATCACCGCCGCACACTGACAACTTTTTTTTTATGGTATCGGGGAGGAAACCTTCAAAAGATACCCTGTCATCTTACATGACAGGATTATGTGGGGTTCTTACCCACTAAAATACCCTCGGTGGCCACCTTCTGTACGTTTGGAGGGACCCCGGGATCTCCTCAGAATGAGCACGCCTCTGTGAAGGGTCAACCTTCCCCGATTCCCTCTCCCTCTTGCAGCAACTCAAGCTGCTGCCAATCCATGTCCCCTTTTAGTCGCCTTTTACGACAGGCAGGAGACGCCTTAGTCCTATTCTATGAGCCCGGGAATACAGGGCTCGCACATTGACATCTAGCTGCAGTAGTTGCAGAAGCGTTGCCAATCGTCGAAAGCATTTGTTTTCAGTGGTTCAATGGTTACCTCACTTACCAAACGATGCGCAGAACACTTGCACTGCTCGCTGGTCTACTTTGAGGCTGTGGTACATTTGATTAAGATATCGAACAATTGGGACAGTTTCTAAAAAGAGAAGAATAATTATCATAAGAAATTGACTCTCGTTTTTGGTTACGTATAGTTCTAGATTTATAGCCGGTACTTGCTCTGTCCGGGACTTCCACATGCCCCAGATTCTCATCATCACCGTGGCAGGGGGGGGTCCTAAAGAATTTTTGCCAAGTTAAAAAAAAACAAAGGTATAGTTTAGGTAGATATGAGTAATTCTCATTTCATTCATCACTTTCGTCCCGTAGCGCCCACATCCGCTGGTACAAGGACGGCCTCCTGATCGAGGACTCCTCGAGCCAGTTCAGCATCAGCACCCACGGCCACCACTCCAACCTGACAGTCACCCCCACCAGCGACGGCGACTTCGGCACTTTCACCTGCGAGGTAAGCCGTTTTAGCTACACCGTCTGCCTTTTATTTGTGTGTCTATTATGAGCGTCTACTCTTTTGACAATATCTAGATGTCGAAATTCCCAGATGTCTAAATGCCTGTAGTGGATTAATTATCAAACAACTCATAAATGATAAAGCTGACGCTGTCGTAACACGATGCGTTTTTAAAGTTAGGTTTTTTGTTCTTCTACAGACACCACAACTAACCCCAGCGAAGGTCGTAACAACTGCTGATGAATAATTATAATAATAACGTATATATTTGACCAAATTGACGATCAAAGGGATAAGATGGTCATCTAAAGTCTCGAATTCATTATAAGCTGACTATAACATTCATTTGATGCATATTGTACATACCTACCCATTTAAATTCGTACAAGGGTTGTTTTTATTTAAATTTCAAAAAAGCAACGGTGACATCTCTCGTTCGAATTATAGTTGTAAAACGATATTCGAAATTACTTGTATGCTGGAAAGGATATAGCAATGGATGCGCCAAGCATTGCTTCAAACGCTAAAAGACAATGTAGATAAAAGACGTTAAGGTTTTCGTCGGTGTGGCAATCAGCCATTTAACTTAGTGGCTAAATCGCCAGGCCGCGGATGCCGAAGACGTGGGTTCGATTCCCACAGCGGCGACAGTCTTTTCGTACTTTTTCTACAAATTTTAATGTAGAGCACTATAAAAAAAATTAAATTTTGTACAAGGTTATTGATCAATCCTCATGCGCCTGAGATCGATTTCATCATCCTATTTCAGGCCGACAACGAGCTGGGCAAACACAACCGCTCCATCGAGCTGGTGCAGAACCCGGTGGTGGAGGGGTTGGACGTGGACGGGCCGAAGCTCAGCTGGACCATCCATTCTCACCAGCCTCTAGAGCTCATCGAGCTGCAACTGAGACAGATGAGCGGGGTGAGAACTTCAGCACCTTCAGACCTTATAATCCTTATCCTTATACGCACTTCCTTGCTTCCTTAATAATCCTTATCCTTACTTATATTATAAACACGAAAGTTTGTATGCATCTATGGATGTTTGTTACTGTTTCAAGCAAAAACTACTGAATGGATTTTAATGAAACTTAACAATTATATATCTTAAACATCAGAATAACACATAGGCTGTAATTTATAAAGAAATTGAGTGAATAGTCCAAAATATTACGATAAGTGTCTAGTGGGTAAGTAGGAAAAAATTATGCGAGTTGATCGTGTAAAATCCATCACTACATAGTATAAAACCAAGTCGTCCCGCTGTCTCTCTGTCTGTCCCTGTGTATGCTTAGATCTTTGAAACTACGCAACGGATCTTGATGCGGTTTACATGTATGATACATCGCACCCGCGCGAAGCCGGGGCGGATAGCTAGTTGTAAAAAAAACCCACACGATCCGGTACTCGGAGAGTAAGCAACCGTACAACTCCAGGACGGCCAGTGGAAGACGCTCAACGTGCCCGTCCCGGACGCGAGGACGCACGAGTACGAGATCATCTACCCGCTGAGCGACCAGGACCTGGAGCCGGGCAAGTACGAGGCCACCGTCAAGGTGAAGAACAAGAAGAGCTGGAGCCAGCACACGCCGCCCGCCTTCGTCGAGATCGGTGAGTTTTCGCAGCCTGCGAGAAGCTGGCGGTTCACCTGACGTTAAGTGACCGCCGCCCATTGGCATTTGCAACGCCTGTAGTGTTGTAAATGCGTTGCCACCTTACAATGAATTTAATTATGTATCGTTTATAACTACTTTACTGCCCTTGACATTTTGTTTCCGTTCTACCTAGGGTTAGCTGGTGGAGAATGCAATATAGCATTAAGCTCGCCTTTATACAGTTTTCTGTGCAATAAAGATTAAATAAAAATAGATGAAGTAGACCCCAGCTACCTCACTCACTAGATGAAACGAGGCAGTATAACACTTGCACTTCAAGCCGGTCTTCTGTGAGGTTGTGTCGTCATAAGCTCCTTGACGGACAGCATAAGGATGGGATTATAACCGCGGATTAGTGGAGAATGAGTTCGATTTGTCGCTTATGTTCTGTTACGTTACAATTGTATGGGTGATATTGTTGGTCCTTCGGGCCGGATGTCGATGAATTCTGGTGGGTGGTGAGTAAATGGTAGATACTAGACCAGATAGACTTTATATGGTGTTAACGGATTCCGTATACCTCATAGAGAAGTTAAGTATATAGAAAACTGACGCTTTTTTGTTGATACAAAATTTGCCTTAGGAATTGAAAAGGAACGGTAGTGTCATAATAATGTATTTAAGATTACATAAATTTTCATTGTAATTACGCTTTAGTTTTTCATACATTGTAAAATATATTATATGCTTCGAACGATAAATTCCTTTTTTTTAATTCTTTTTTTTTTCATTAATTGCCATTTTAAAGATAAATTCATTTTTGTCATTAATATCACAAAATTACTGATACTTATTGTTGTTGACATGCGCATGTTTTTGATTTTGTTTTTTTTTTCTTTTACATTTTTAGAAGCTCAACCGCAGTACATTCAACACGCGTCAGGTAAGGCAGCTTACATTTTATATTTATTTTTTTCATTTTTTTTAGCTTTATTTTGCTTCAGTTTAACAACCGAATATTGTAAATAGTTAATATATTGTATATATTTGTTTTACTTTGAACAATAAATCATATTTTTCTACAGTAAAATTTTGCGCGGGATATTAAATAAAAATTATTAAATTTTAATCTACATACAACGAATATTTACTACATGAACTTTATTACATGAACAACGAATTTAAATAACTTTATTCAAAAAATGCGATCAATCCATTGCAACATGATAGTTCTGAATAGTACACGTACTTATAAAAGGATATACTTACATTGCCTCCACAAAATTTATAGTTTAAAATTCCATTGTAATGGCGAAAAGGTCGTTTCAAAACAACTATAACCTAAAATTAAATAGAACGAATTCAAACATATGTTCTAATCGCCATAGAATTGTTTAGAGCATCGTACGACGTTATAATATTTTATTTTGCAGCCGTCATTTTAAAATATTTCTTTTCTCCTTTTCCAGTATACCGAGGCAACAGCGCGCATTCCATACGGCCGATGTTTTTCAGCGCAATCTCGACCGGCCTCATGTACCTCCTCGTGCGAACGCTCTAAACGGGACACCGTAGCCTAAATTATTTATTGTTAGCGTCGATAATATATTAATGGTTCGGTTAAGGCAAGACGCATAATGATGTACGTCAGTTTTAATAATTAAAAAAAAATCGAGTGATGTGAAATATACCACGATTCAACCAAAAAAAGACCATCTACACAATGTGAGATTTAATCTGTGAGGTATATGATATAACTTTCTCGAGTATATTTCCCATTACCGTTTTACTTATTTAATAGCTTTTTAATGTAATATATTTTTTCGTTTTTTTTTTTTCGCGGCAAAAGTGACAGCGGTTGTTCAATATAGGTAAGGAGACCAATCTCTGTATGTAAACAGTTTCCTTCTAAAGGCGTTTAATTCGTTGGCGCTGTGGTAGCATAGGGGTATTAAGCAGTGGTAGTAAAGTAATAGTTTTCATGATTTCAATTTACTAAAATTAAACTCAACATAATAAATAATCACACCCTCTTGCTACTTTAGCGCCATTTTGGAGGGATTTAGAACTGTTACTTACTGCTCATAGATGGACACGTGTATCTATTCTCCCATTTGAGACAGTGCTCCTTACCTTTACCTTTCAGCAAAAGACATATTCCACAGATTATATAAACGTGAGCGTCTTGTCTTAGCGTCGTGATTGTCGTTTTAGGCTGTTTAATGTATTCTTTGTTCGCACAGTAGCTGTCGCGCAGCTGTTTTACATAAGTACAAATGCATTGATCCCGATTTGATGTCTTTCGTTTGTTCGAGTTTCGTTTGTACAGATTATAAAGGAGTCTTTTTCGTCAGCCCCGATTTAGCCAAGTTACTTAATTAATCCAGTTTTTTTTTTTCGTTTCTACCTTCTCCATTCTATAAATCAAACAATATTCTCACCAGAGCAGCTGTAATCCCTATGAATACGAGATATTTTCTGTAAATATTATTGATTAATTGTTTTTTTTTTAATTAGCGATAAAAGGTTCACATCGCTTCTATACCTTATATCGGTTCGCGTATATAAGTATCTGTTTATTATATTGTCTAGCGATCTTCTCACATTAGCTTTTTAATGTATTGAAAAGTTAGGTTAATATTACCAAAGTGTAATTAAGTAACATATTTAGAGTTACTAAGTAAGTGTACTTCTTATAATTAATGTGCTTATTAAAATTAAAACGTATATTAATTTATGCTGTAGATTACAACAAATTTTATGATTCGCTTACTGTAACAAATTATTAGAGGGTATGAAATCTTTATGATAAGAAACTTTGAAGGAGACAAATATTTTTTCATGGTATATACAATTGATTCAACATAGAGCACAACAATAAATAAATACAGATTAGAACGAGTCAATATAGCTGCCATAAAACTAAAGTGAAACAAGTAATCATTAATAATGTTACGTATTTAAAATAAGATATTTACCTATTACCAATTAAATGTAGTTTGTAACGATTAAAATGTGCCTGTAATTTATACAATAAAAGAGTTCCACGCAAGGTGCTTTTTCGATAAAATTGATGTAACGCTATTTAAATTACATTGTAATACTAGTACATATTACCTGCTAGTCTTAATTACAACTGCTATTATTTTTATCATGTTATATTTTCCATAAACTATAATTTTCATTACAGTTCGCATTTTTATGTTATTTTAAGGCACTTCACATTATTTTTGTAACTTCAACGTTTCCGAAAACTCTAAACAATAAAGGAGTAATTTACATTTAGGTAATTCATCTACAACGCTTCATAATAAATTAAATTATTATTGAATATAGATTATTATTTTAATGCCTATTTTAACTCTATTCTCGACTAAATCCTCAAGGTCGATCCATCGGACCTCTCTTTCACACCTAAATGTGTGTACACAAGTTAATACATTATATCGACAAATTCTAATTAAAAAATCAAATATGTTGTATTTTATGTAAGATCGGAAAATTCAGTTGACGATTATATGAATTTCTAATAAAACGATAGGGAATAATCGATAACATTTCCATTAGTTCCTTCTCTATGCACATAGAACAGAAGTACAAAAACTATATCAGCTGTAGTTTCGTCGTTTACTTTATTATATAAGGATAACTAAATAAATAACACGACGATTATTATTGTTATTATCGTACAAAAAGTTACCAAACATCATGTTCGGCGAAAATACAACATTTCAACAAAATATACGGTATTAAAATGTTTAAACACAAATTTATAATTTTATCTACAATTTTTAAACAATAATCCAATCTGTCATCTTGACATTTGACGAATATTTTTTTTTATTAAATTGTTTAAACTAGGTACACATTCTACTACTGTTTCGTAATTCAATTGTTTCGTATTAATAAATGTCAACTATGAACAATGTCAATGTTTATCTGTATGTATGTACGTGCCTTCTTTGTATTCAATTCGTGGGAGGTGATATTTTCGTCTTAAACAAATAAATGATTAATGTTTGTAAATAATCTTTGATGGTTGTTTTATTTCGTAATTTTTTTGGTTCCATAGCATAGTGTTAGTAATAGGGTCCCCATTACTAAGACTTCGCTGTCTGTTGGTCCATCTATCACTAGGCACAAACACTAAAAAACAAAATAAAAAAATATTTAAGTGTGGCTCCTATACAACAGATACTTACATTTTTTTTTTGCTGTGCACGAGTCTGACTCGCACTTATAGGAAACCAGCCTAAGTGCAGTGCGCTTTAAAACGGGTTTAGGTAAATCACCCACTGACGGTAATGACGACGTTTTAACAACGAGATGGAAAAAATTTAAAAGAATAAACAAATTTTCGCTTCGACGTAATGTTAAGGTATTACCGCCGCCTTGTCATCCTGAATACCCGTTTTCAAACTTTAAGAGGCCTCGATTACCTCAGTCACTTGACGAAACGCAGAAGTCACGCAGCCTCGGCTGTTGCACGAATGGGCAGGCTCATCCGGGTAAGTACCACGACCTCACACAACACCGGCGTGAGGTGGATGTATAATACTTTCGCGTTTCGTCTGGTGAGTGAGGTGGCCGGAGCCCAATTTCCAAAAGGTTGTCAATGCACCTGCAACCCTCGGCTGTAGCAGATATCCATGTGCGGCGGTATTCACTTAACATCAGGTGAACCGCCTGCTCGCTGGGCAACTTGTCACATAAAAAAAATAAGTACAACACATCACGCTGGTCTTCGGTGAGCTCGCGGTACTTCCCCGGACTGAACTGACCATTCGTGTAACGGTGACTGCTGCGACCCCTACCACAGGTCAACTCGGTGGCATAGTTGCTAAGCTACTGGCTTTAGCGCTGGTTGTCGTGGGCTCGAGTCCCACACGGGACAAGTATTTGTGTGATCCACAGATAATTGTTTCGGATTCGGATATTTTATTTGGCTGGATGAGCCACTGTCGGCCTTAGGGGCCTTTACAGATCCGACGGGCATGAGGTGGGGCGCCTAGCCTGAACCTCGGCGTATTATTATTACGCGTTATGGTGACTAAGCTCGAGGGCTCCCGAGGGAGCCTCGGCTCCGGCCCTCACGCTATTAGTTTCACCGATTTGGTAGGCCGCCAAGTTCTTAGGGCGCTTTGGCGGACGCTCCATGGAGTGATCAGGCTCAAGGGTCCCCGAGAGGAGACCTCGGCTTGGGCTGTCACTCAAAACGCGTTTAGCATTCCGATTCGAGGGTGCCCGAGAGGGCCGGACCTCGGCTCGATTGGTAGCTGTTATCTGGCTGGACGGATTTGGGTGTTCATTCTCACGGAACGGGAATATTGATATTTGCACCGTGACCTGCTAAAAAACGAAAAGTTTTTTTTTCTTTTACATTATAGGAGTATAAATATATATAAAATATACAGTACAACCGCCGCCCATGGACATCTGCTACACCCGAGGGTTGCAGATACGTTGACAACCTTTTGTAAATTGGGCTCCGGCTCCCTCACTCAGCAGACGCAAACACTTGACGCCAGTCTTCTGTGAGGTCGTGGTACTTACCCGAATAAGCCTGCCCATTCGTGCAACAGCCAGGGCTGCTGCGTGGCCTACCGGGCTACCACAGTAAAACGTGCCAATGTTTTGTGGACTGATGATTTTGTTACATTACCTGATTTTTAAAGTGCCTACTTTAATGCTATTGTTAAGTAGAACAAAGAAAGTCAAGAATAATAACGAAATAGTATACTTAAGAATTCTCGCATTTATCATTGTTTTCTTTCTGATACCCTGTAATGTCACTGCCACTACGAATGTCATATTTGACTTTTTGAGAGGACTGTTTTTGACACCTGAATTTTGACATAATATCCTGATTACTCGTATTATTGAATATCTTCCTTTACAATGTGTTTACTTTTCTATATTATTTTCAAATTATTTCACATCTATTTGAAACATCAGAGAAGGGTCGTCGTTTAAAAGATTAATGCGAAAAAGTGATTAAATTCAAGAGGTGCTTAAAGATGCCAAGAAATATAAACATTTTATAAACTTACGATATTGGTATTAAATCCTTTGATGATGAAAACAAAGGTCATCTAAAGAATGGACAATTTAAGCGAATGATCGTGAAGGATAAGGAGCTTTATTCATTGGTGTGTTTGCAAGTTTTCTGTCTTTCAAAAGAAGCTTTAACGTCGAATACATTAATGCCTGACATAAGATTTTTGTGGAAGCATTTTATTTGTACATGGGTATTTTATTAATAAAGGAACAATGTTTTCCGTATAGGTTTTTTTTTTTTATAATACGCCGTATGATAGAAATTTTTGAAGCAATGTTGAGCAGCGTAAGAGAATTTTCAATAGACGTTTCCAGACTACTGATAGTACCTGGAGGACCGTTTTTTTTTTTTTTGGATTTTGGAAATTAAAAATTAAAAAATAAAGAAAGCAATGATCTGGTATAGAAAAAAAAGTAAAAAATATGCGTGTAAATGATCATGACACGAACTGCTGTTTCGGGGCCGCCTGATTACCGACCGAGCTATTAGAACATTTTTTTTCGGCGATATTTACCGTCATATTCGAATGATATTTTTCATTCCCAGAAAACAGGGATAAAAGGACATTTTCTAAAAATGAAACCTAGCTAGATCGATTTTTCGCCCCCGAATCTACGCACATTATAAATTTCATGAATATCGCTGGAGCCGTTTCCGAGATTTCGATTATATATGCTGTATATAATATGTCGTTACAACGGCGACAATAAATGAACACAAGTCTAACGCTACTTGCCAATAATCGTAAAAAAATATTAACTTTAAAAAAAATACAAAATAAAAAAAATATTTTTCAAACAAACTAATTAAGTAAAATAGAAACAAAATTAGTAACATCCTATACAACTACAACTAACTGATTCATACATTCAGAGACTTTCATTCGTTGCCACAGCGTCGTATTACAAGCCTCTCCTTCTAAAGGCCCATTTACACGGTGCAAGTTTCTTGCCTGTTGTATACAATTAAATTGAAGCAATAAATGAGTTGCATGGTCTAAACAACAAATGGTCTAACAAATTATTGCGCGCAATTTATTGCATTCAATTATTGCTCTTGTATGTACAAGAAAATGGCATCGTGTAAATGGGCCTTAACAGTATGTTTTGTCTCTTTTAAATTCATTCAACCCATTCATATGCTTTGTGACCTTTACAAATGAACTTTACGTTAAGTTTTATACGTAAGGTTGTTCTAAAATTGTTTGTTTTGGAAAATTTAATAACTCGGTAAATATTGATGTTTCGTCTAGTCATGTTTGTACTGATAGAATTCTGTACCTCAGAGGTAAATAGCATTATGTGACAAAACACAAATATTACAGGAGAGGCAAAAATGCGTGAGTGAATCCTTGATTTGATTATTGATTACAACTGGATATTTTATTTATTAGGCTTGGTAGGGCTTGCTTATACAATTTGTTCGTGCGTAAGAAAAATAATTTAGAAAATTGTGTAGTTACTATAATAGTTACGAAATTCGAGACTGAAGAGGTGACGACTCACGATTTACAACGACACTCAGATGCTAAACCCACCATAGGGAAGTGTGAAAGAAACAGAACTTTATTATGTACCACTGTAATATGTCAAAATCCATTCGATTCGCTTGACAACTCCGGTCAGTGTTCGATTAAACGTATGAACGGTGTACGTTTTTATTATTTATCTTGGTACGTATAGTTTGCTGTTAGCCTGGCGGCTTTGACAGCTTTTGGCGTCAGAAAACCGACTCAGGAGAACAACGTAGCTGGCGCACGAAGACGACACGAAGACGCCGCCCGCTCCGCTGCACTCCGCAACACCCTGCTAACGAAAGGTGGACAATCGGCTATAGGGGTTCGAATCTCGGCTTGGATCGCAATCGATATGAGGACCTATCAGAGGAAGGAATAAGTTTGAAATTGCGTGGACTCCGTGGCGCAAATGCGGGACAACTATTTGTTTGAACCACTGATAGAAGTTTCGCATCTGGGTGTTTGTCCGCGTCAAATTTATGTTTGTAAAGTGTCCTTACAACATAGGATAATCTTATTCTAAAGTAAGGACAATGCTTTTTAAAAAAAAGCCCCTGAGTTACCACGGCTCCTAAAGTGTAAAAGTTGATGCAACTGTTGTGAATAAAGCATAGGTTGGAGGTTACACAAAAGTATATAAAACTTCAGATAAGAGAAATGCTTATTCTAATACGAACTTTTGTAAACGTGACTTTTGTTAGTGACGATCAAATAATGTTTTACTATGCGTCTTTCTTCAAAGATGTAACTAAGAAGTTATAAAGGATTATATACTTTTTATTAAATTATCAAATATACTTTTTCAGCCAACCAAATAACATCTGTCACTGTCTAGAATACCTCTCGCTGTGTTCTTTGCTAGATTTTGCTTTATTTTATATTTTATTGTTTATTTTTTGAAGACTTTTATATTGATATTTTGCAACTGATATTGTGAAATGGGCGAAAGTGTCGTGAGTATTTTTGTTTCGGACATTATCATCCAATAGCGATCTACCTTTTAGAGATTTTTAAACAAAACTTAGGATGTTCAAGTCTTCAGTTGTATTTCCAAATGTTCAGCATTTACATTGGATTATTATTGGATGTGAATTTCGAAAAGCAAGTCGAAGTATACGAAGAATTCAAAAAATAAACCCATAAGTTTTGCGGCGGCGGATCTGTCACTTTTTGACTTCAAACCTGGGCTGACGAGAATGATTATAGCTCTGTTTAACTACACAATCAGTATAAGCGACGCGAGTGCTTGTTCCGTAGATCGACTTTCCTTATGGTTTGCGTTTGGCCACATGACAAGCTACGCGAATATGTTTCGAAATGGTCATCCAGGGAAATGCCACGGTCTCAATGATAGCCGCCGTAATGTGGGCCATATAACCGGGGCCGACTTTAAGATTGCAGCGCATTTGCAACCCCACGGGTGTTGCAGATGTCCATGGTTATCGCAACGCCACTTGAACCACCAGATCGGCCACGTTCTCACATCATAAAAATCCAACACAGGACACGGCCGCTACCGACTCCAACGACACTAGTAACGCGCCCCGACACGGCTCGGCGAGGAGTCGCGGCCACCGGCGCACTTTCGAGGTAAAGGCGACGCCCCAGACGGCGTTGGAATGGGATTTCATGTCACGACGACCGCCTGGAAAGAGGACCAAGTAAGACCTAGGCCTAGCTTTATACATTATACTCGAAAGACTACTTCCCATACATGAGGACAAAGTTACGACTAGCTCTACGGAAGTCACCCCCATGTGACTACGGAAATCAAGTGTTCGCGTGCATGAGCAGAGCATATTCATTGAGTGAACTATATCGTGAGAGGTTCGAATGAGTGTATTTTCGTATCAGGGGGAACAGTACTACGATATATCGATCAACCTGCGGCATTAAAGCCATTGATGTGGTAATGATGTGCAATATTGCAACAGCCAGAGCCCGCCCTACCGCTAAAAAGTACTAGCACTAGGGAATTAGAAAGTATCCCCTGTTTCCCCTGCTTATTTGTGCCCCTGTTTCGCTGCCCCGCCAACTGAGTGATGTGAATCATGTTTTCTTATGAAAGGCTTTCTGTAGGTCACATAAATCCTTGTCCTTAATACCAATAGCTGAGCTTTTGCACCACCGGTCACACACACAGCATAGGAATCAAATCAATTCGTTATAGAAACATTTTTTACCGATTTATCGCGTTTATTTTTAATGTTAATTCGCGAAGTTTCGAACCCTTTACAGCGTTCATGGCCACGGGACAGACTGAGGCGTTGGACGTCTGAATGTCATAGTTAGCCCGGGCTACCGTCAGTTTTTAAATTATTCCATTTGTGTCTGATTTCCGCAGAAGGTGCTAATTGTATTTTGTCTTCCAGCTGTGCTGTGTTTGGGCCTAGATTTAATTTCATTGATAATAAGATCCACACCAACCATCCACATTTTTTTTTAATTCCGATAGCCTCGCGAATACATTTGGGGGAGGCCTTTGCCAACAAGCCTCGCGAATCATCCTTGGAGGAATCGATGTTCTTTTCCAAGGATCTATGGTTAGATACTTGATTTAGTGGTTTGGGCGAATCAAGGTTTCACGGTGTACTCCCAAATTGGGTCAAATTGTTCGATCTGTTGTGTTTTAAGTCGGCTTCATGTTCCTTCACGCGGGTTTTCAATGTTTTATCGTCAGTATTATCGAGTCCATTGGCCACCTAATCAAGAGCTGCCTCGGCGGCGGTGTCGTGGCCATTCACGAGTCTTTCAAGCACTGTGGCCTGTGGACGTCTGTAATTCTTACAATCGTTCTCGGATTCATGGTCAGCTACTGCATGTTTGTAAGTATGTTCCATATACTAGAACTCGCATAATATTTTAGCCGCTTAATAGTGTGAACATGATACGGATTCTGTTTGAAGCAACAGATGTTTGCCAGATTAGTAAACTATATTAGCAAATTGGATGACTGACATAAAACGCGTGGAGACAAGAAACAAATCACACAATGTGTTAAATTATTTCATTGGCATAAACTTATGTGTTTTATAAACATATACATATAACCGCGATAAACTTTTGCCTGATACAAAGCAGCGATCATTGCAGTTAACATCGATAAATTTTTTAAGAAAGAGATGATAAATAAGTATGCGGCTTGGCTGATCACAACATTCACTACAACTGTTTTTCGTAGCAGTAGATGCTCATACTGTGGGGCTCTAAGTTGTTTATTATCCTGTTCTCAGATAATAGCACGCTCTGCACAAAAGATCTATGGAAGGGTGCAAGTTCCAATGATGTCTTATCCAGATTTGGCGGAAGCAACACTCGTCATTGGACCATTTAAAAGTTTAAGGAAATACAGCAGATGCTTCAGGTGAAAAGTTTAGAATTTCCTCAACGAAGGCGCTCTATTTCTTATTAAATATACATTATAAAATGTTATTTTAGAATGTCTACATTCTGTAGCTCACTAGATGACTTCAAGTAAAAGTTGCAGCAAATTATGTTTCGAAATATCGGGAGTTAAATCAGAAGAAAATCGGCCAATACTTCAATTTTAAAAAGATTTCGCCAAGCGAGCTAGCGGTTCACCTGATGTTAAGTGATACCGCTGCACATAGGTATCTGCAACACCCGATGGGTTGTAGTTGCCTTGACAACCTTTTAATAACTGGGGACCGGTTACCTCACGCACCAGACGAAACGCGAAAGGGATATACTTCTACTTGACTGTCTGTGAGGGCGCGGTTCTTACACGGATGACCATTCGTGCAACAACATAAGGCTGTTGCGTGGCGCTACCTAGTAAAGATAAAGAAAGAGAATATTGCAAAGGCCTTTCTATTTGGTGAAACGGGTGTATATATGTATGACAAATGAGTATGCCACTATATATATGCCACTATATAGGGGTATATCCACGGGAGTGAGGAGTACGCGGTATGTCAAAGTATAAATGCCTGCCTTTTTGTTGGTTTTTTGTGTCGCAGTTATTCCCGACCTGAAGGTACTACAACAATTCCGCAGAAAATGTTGCTGGCCCAACCACAGGAGAATCAGAACATGTTTATGTGTATGCGTTAAATGCTATGCTATGTTTAACTGTGGTAGGGACACGCAATACTTTTCACTGTTACACGAATGGGCAGGTCCGTCCGGGCAAGTACCACGACCCCACAGAAGACCGGCTTAAAGTGGAAGTGTTTCACTTCTGCGTTTCGTCTGGTGAGTGAGGTAGCCGGGGTCCACTTTATTTATAGATGGCAACGCATTTGTAACCCTACCGGTGTTGCAAATGTCCATGGTTATTACTTAACATTAGGTAAGCCGCCAGCTCGTTCGATGAAAATGCTATGTGGACTAAATTTCTTCTGCTTCTTACCCACCTTAGATACGCGGTCGATTTCACAATAGGCGTGGACCTGTTTGGCTCATGCTGCGTATATCAGGTGATGATATGCAAAACAATAAAACAACTAGTGGAGGGTACGGAAGAAATCAGCAACGAAGGCAACCCCCCACTGAGAGTCTACATTCTGGCCATCTTCATACCGTGTGTTCTTATCTGCATGATAACCACTCTGAAGTACCTAGCACCGTTCTCCATTGTGGCTGATATATTCCTATGTGAGTTCTATCTTTAATAACTCTCTCGGACGTTATTCACCATGCACTATTTTTGCCTCATGCGGAAACGCAGATCGTACGGTACTTAGTTTTTAAGTTGGCCATTTTTAAGCCCCTTCTTTTTTATTTTTTTCCACACTTAATATTAAGAAAACATTACGCACAACATAAATCAAGCCTATATATTAAAATCATAAGTGACAGTGTTTGTATATTCTTCCTCTACGCAACAACGTAGCACTGACCTAAATTTTAAAATCGATTCAAACTGTAAGTACACTTTAGACCAAAATAACAACCAAGGGAGCGAAGCAAATGGGAACATCTGGTTCGCTAAATACTTAACAAGTAGAATTTTATTTAGTGAGATTTTCATTGATAAAAATTAGGTGTATTGTCATTTCTCCTCTCACAGTTACCATATTAATTTTATTGATATTTAGCCATATGAACCCATCATATGGTCAAATCTCGATTAAAATTAAAATATCACTCCAGCAACCTCCAGTACTAGATTCCCTTTGATTGTGTGTGAATTTTGTGAATTTCAATATAGTTTTTTGTATTAGAAACGGGTATCTTTTGTCGTCGAATGTGTTTCCAGTAGCTGAGTTAAAAGTTTGTGGAACTGTTTTCTCCCTCTTCATTCCGGTTACCACATTACACCTAACGAGCTTCATCCAAATTTAGGGAATTCTTCGTTGTTGGAACGGAAAAAGGAGCAGAATCCATTACGCAGCTCGGGTGTATTGTTACTCTTACGAAGACTCCTCTGACCTTTAAAATTTACTTCGTCTCTACGCAGTTATCACTACAAAGTACAAAACAATGTCGTTGTCTATCTGTCCCTGTGTATGCTTAGATCTTTAAAACAACGCAACGGATCTTGATGCGGTTTTTATACTAGAGTGATTCAAGAGGAAAGTTAATATGTATAATACATTGCACCCGTGCGACGCCGGTGCGGGTCGCCAGTGAATTATATAGTGCTAGATAATTCTTATTCTTTTCCTTTCACAATTTTATGTTGCAGTGATCCTCGCGCTTGCCACCATCTATTACGGCACGAAGACCGCGAAACGTAGCCCCCTCGACTTTCCCGCGTTCAAAAATCTCGCCGGACTATTAGAGTTCCTGGGGGTTTGCGTGTTCAGCATGGAGGGTGTCGGGGTAACGCTCGCCATAGAGAACAACATGCAGAACCCGAAGAAAATTGGCACCGTGCTAACTGGAGGTATCGTCGAGACCTTAACTGCATTCTTTGATTTATTTCTATCGCACTTTCTATTTCATGTGCATGGTCGGTTACCATCACGTGGCGCGACAGCGTCTATATACATATGTTGCTACTGGTTCCGTCACGTAATAAAAATGAAATATAAACATTTTGTTCAAGTCACATCCTTATGTTTGAGTATTTTATCTTATCTTCCTTAAGGTAATATGGCATGGCCACACTAATACACATAAAGACATCGATATTAAAATAAATGAATAAACTACCAAAGTATAAATAAAAAATTGGGATATTTTCATTCATCTGGAATCCCTCAAGTCGGTCACACATAGATCGTACGATGTTCACTTTCGATATTCGCGGCGCGGAGTCCTGTTATTTTCTTGTCCGTGTGTATTCTTAGATAGTACAATTGGAAGTTATTCTGAATTCATTTGATTATTTTGTTTCCTTAGGCATGTCAATAGTGGTGGGCATAGTCATGTGTATGGGATTCTTTGGCTACTGGGGCTTCGATGAGGATTCTAAGTCGCCGGTGACTTTGAACTTTCCATTCACAGGGTAAGATATGTTATATAAGTCTTTAATGAATGAATACTTTTGTTGTCCACCTCAAATGAAAGGAGACACAAAATTAACAATACAAAAACAAATTTATGGAATGCACAATTTGGCGGCCTTACCGCTTCCAGGCAACCAACGGCGTAAGGACGTTTACGAAGTAGGTTGTGCAATTTTAATATGCACAAGGGATAATTTTAAAAATAAGTATTTCAAGAAGATTCACCGTGTAGTTTCATAGCCCTACTTAAAATCAATCGAGCAGTTCAAAGGAAGAAAACGCTTTACATTGTATAATTCATGTCGTTTAAAGTAATTGTTTAGTTTAATAACCAACCATTTTAGAACAAACCAGAGCAGTATTATTTAATATAATTCCTTCGTATGTACGATGATCCGAATTTTATGGTCCATTTGGTTTCCAGTTTCTCAATCACTCTCAAAGTCTTCATGGCTCTGATCATCTACGTCACTTTCGCTCTCAACTTCTGGGTGCCGTTCGAGCTGGTGTGGCACTACATCAAACAACGCTACGAACCCTCCAAGTACTGGTTATGGGAGAGGGTGTATCGGGCCATCTTCGTGGTGGGGATCACATTGATTGCCTTCGTTTTCCCCAACGTGTCCTCTTTCATCGGATTGGTAAGTGCGACGTTGAGCATCAGAGAGAATTTCGTGGACAAACTCACATTTCAAGTTGTTAATATATTTGTTATTAATTATTAACTGCAGTTTTTACAGCATGAGAGCAGGAGATAAGTTAAACCCGTGACTATAAACTCTGTACATTGGCCGTAACATGGGGAATTTAAATCAAAATGAATATGTTTAATTTGGTTTTACTTAATTGGATAAAGAACAGAAGTTCAGTTTACGAGCCAGAACATGCACCATGATAAGGGAACTTCGTATGCCACTTTTCGTCTCATCTTTTTTAGTTAATGGCTGATGCGCTATATATTCGAATTAATATATCGATCCACATTATGTTAATGATATATGAACTTTGTTCTTTTCTTCTAAAATCCACATTGTTAAAATACTCTTGACAATCTTTTTTTTCTGCTATGGATGGACCTGATAGTCTTGCGCCAGGTTTCAGAAACATTTTAGTTGCAAAAAGGATGGTTAAACTGTTTGAATTGATCATTCTGATCATTAATTAGATCGCTCTGGTCAATTCAGAGAGTTTAACAGAGAGTTTAACTGCAACTATTTTTTTTTATGCGAAAAGTTGTCAAACGAGCAGACGGTTCACCTGATGTTAAGTGAATACCGCCACACCCGAGGGTTACAGATACGTTGACAACCTTTTGAAAATTGAGCTACGGATACCTCACTCACCAGACGAAACACGAAAGTATTTGTCATACTTCCACTTTACGCTGGTACCTTCTGTGAGGTCGTGGTACTTACCCGGACGGGCCTGAAATTTAACAGCTGATTAGTTGACATCTACGATGATTAGTGTTTCGGAAACCGGACGTTAAATTATTTAATGTAATTATTTGTCACAGCTTGGCTCCTTCTGTTTGTCCAACATGGGCTTCATTTACCCGGCTTTCATCGAGCTCTGTCTGGATTGGGAGTACCCGGGGCTCGGCTTCATGAAGTGGCGACTGATCAAGTGTCTCCTGATCACGGCTTTCGGCATCTTCCTTTGTTGTTTCGGCACTTACTTAAACGGCAAAGAGCTGCTGCGCCAGTCCTTCTAAATGACAATTGTTGCTCACATTTAGGATTGCCATATATGAAGTTTAACAAACTGTTACCGCTAGGGTTTTCATCAGCGATTTCATTTGACGGTGATTGTTTACGAGGCGATTTGTATGACAGCGAAATTTGTCGTCGGATAAAATGAGGGGGCTATCTCTTGTGGGTGGCGCGTGTATAAATTGAAGTTTGAAAATGAATCTAAAAAGCGTGTCTGCCAATTGTAATACTTTTTGTATTCGAAGAAATCATTATTGGTTTAAATGGCCATTCCTATTGACTTGTTTTTTAAATAAGGTTTTAATAAATGACATGACTTTGAATATATGTTTTTTTAATAACCTCCGAATCCTGTGAACCGAGAATTCGGGTTAGCGGAGGTCTAATCCAATCCGAAAGTGGCTATGGTAAATCTCATATTGCAGGTAGACTATATGGGCTGACGCCGATCTTGTGGGATTTGATTTCACCAAAACAAAGGCAAAGAGGCCCGTTCACCTCGATCCCTTCCTATCAAAAGTTTCCTTTAAATAGCCTTATAGCTTTGGGTGGTTTGGTATAGGTACGGCTTTGGTAGTGGTCCAAATCAAAACCAACGGCATAGTAATCGAATATTTCAACACAAGTATTGGATGTAATTGTTACCAGGACAGCTTCAGAATTTACCTAGTCGATGGTAAGGCCACGCAACAGTCTACGCGCGAATGGGCAGGTCCGTCCGGGTAAGTATCACGACGTCACAGCACCTAATAGGGACTTGTATAATATCCGGTATAAATTTCAACTTGCTAGATCCACCCGTTCCTGAGAAAATCCGTGGTGATTATTTACGTGGGTAGATACGGAACCCTCGGCGTACGAGGTTCCGGGTTCCTAAAGTAACCTAAAGCTCCAAAAACATAAAAGATTCCAAAATCCTATAATGTGTGATTTATGTGCCCTAAGTCGACGGATGGAATGATAATACAGGCTGAAATTATAATGATTATATTCTTCTTCTTCTTCTTCTTTTCTTTTTTGGCGGTTTTCAATGAATACGCCAATGAACACTTCTGGTTGTTTATTTTTGCCTAACTTTTATAATGAAATGATGAAGAGAATGATTTTATGAATGTTAAATATGTATATTTTTATATATAGAATATCTAAACAAATTTACATAATTATAGCAATTACCTAGAACAAAGAAAATAAGATTGTAATTATTATGCTAAGTTCACAACTTAATATTACAACTAATAATAAAATTACACAAGATATAAACAAATGAAGAATTAACATATGTTAAAAGGTTATTGATATTAGATGGACGAGGGATGCTAGAAGGAAGATGATCATGGAAGGAACCTGGAATTCTGGGACAGTTGAAAAATATATGATCAGGTGAATCATCATCTAGGCCACATTCACTAATGATTATATTATATTCTAGATCACTATTTTTACTTTTTATGTATCTGTCATTCGTAGATTTTTTTCTAGTTTTGGGGCTACCAAAAGCTATTTTTTATCAGAACATTTGAAAATCATAAAAACTTCCATGTAATTATTTTCTATTTTCTGTTATTAAAATTAAAATTATGAATGTGGATAACGGCACGCTAAAATTATAAAATTTTATTTTCATTGATATGAAATAAATATAAATACTATTTGTTTCAAGTCCCACTGTTTACATTAATACTTTTGATAGTAAATTACAACAGAGAATGTTCAGAGGAAAATACCTAAAGAAATTACACATTGCATTCGTGTAATTTCAATTTTAATTAGTGTGCTTATACACTTTTAATCAGTGAAGTAACCACAATATTTAAAACAAAAACAATTTATGTCCATTAAATACTTTAAAACTTTTAAACATTAATTTCTATTCTGAAATTAGTACTAGGCTATTAGGTAAAAAAAAACATTCTAACACAATAGATGACGCATATCACTGCGCGGTATTTTTAAATTGTTCCGCTTTACATTATATAACATACATAAGTAAATGAGATAGATGATATAGAACGCATGACATGGAAAGACAAATCAGTCTATAGAAATCCAATCTAAAAACACCAATTGGTGTAATTTGAGTGCCTCAGTTTCAGTGCCCTAGAGTCATATTTACATCGTATTTGTGTATAATTTCTCTGTTTTAACCACGGCGAATAGAGAAAACAAGACACGCAACAGAGAAACAACTGTTTTCGAAAGAAAGAAAGAAGAAGGAAGAGAAAGAGAAGAGAAAGAAGAAGACAAAGAAGAAACAACGGTTATTCTGTGGTTCTACCAGTAATAAAATCAAGACATCAAAAATCACTTCAAATCAAAAGTCACTTTTCCATAAGATTTTGATCCACAATAAAATATAACATTATACAATATATATACATTATACATTATTATCATCTGTTCTAAAATCAGAAAAATAGTGTTTTCCAATCCAACCAGCCTTTTGCAGTCCACTGCTGGACATAGGCCTCCCCAAGAGTACGCCACATAGTACGATCTTTCGCTAGTGTTTTGTTATAAAAAAATTAGGAAAAAATTATACAGTTTTGCGGAATTAACGAATCGAATAACGAAAAAAATGTATTTTAAAACTGTCACGAACTATGTCAATGTCAGGCAAAATTCTAACGTATGGCAACCCTACATAGAACCGAATCGAAGAAACATCGCGAAAAGCAATAACCACTTCGCGAGTTTCCTAGAGCATATAGTAAACAGTGCATTGCTGTTTTTGTTTCAATGTGAATAAAAGGTTTTTGGCTCAAACGTGGAGTTTCAAATGGATTTATTAAATCTTCCAATTGTTATGGTCGAGAAAGTTATCTCGTACCTTTCTTACGACGAAATTGCAAAGAATAGACTGGTAAGTTTAATTTATTTATAGAAATGACTATTTATTCTAACCGTGTAATAATGTGTAAATCGGATAATATTACTATAAAACTGTTTTACAGTGTGCTTGTCAGTTTACTTACATAAAGGGCTATAAACAATGTAATTTTGAAATATTTCGAAAGTTATTACCCTGTTTGATCGCTCCAAGTTGTAAAGAAATTATAAATATTCTACAATATTACCTTTTTTTTTCACAACTACATTATTTTTCTTAAATAAATTGAATTATAATTTTTCACAATTTATTTCTTATTTCTATTCCTATTTACATTTACTTTTTGCGGTATTTATGAATATTTAATTATATGATATATTTGCATAAAAATATACTTATATAAATTTTATGAGTAAATTTTTCTGTCTATTATTTCTATTCAGCCTATGCAGCTTCTATGCAGCTTTTCAATTCAGCCTGGAAACAAATCAAAGATTAAAATATTGATAATAGCCTGGACTTATATTTTAGTTTAATTGTATTAGAATCTAATGCAATTAATCATCCAGGCTTCATATGCTTTATATAATGCAAAATGTCCATAACTTTTCCGTCATCTATTTCCAAACTTTATACAAAAACCCAGTTTTTTGTATGTATAAATATTGTTCAGGATTTATGAACATGTTTTATTTGGTAATACATAATTTCATAAGGTTCTAAATATACCTGGCTCTAATTTTAATGATCTCTCTATGTATTTCTCAAGTGTATTTTTATCAGAATGCCATAATTACCATAATTCTTCATTAAATTGTAATGTTCAAGCACCATTTCAATAAGTTTATGTTAGCCACAATTGGCAAAAAATAAGCAAGCAGAAGAAAATAAATATATGACATTGCCATCTATAGACAATTTGTTTAAATGAAAGATAGCAAATTAGACTGAAAAACTTTATCCTTCTTAACTTTGATTGATAAACACCTATTTACAAATTATTATTGTATTGCCATTTGATGATTAATATTTATGGAAATTTAGCATGGGTCAACTTGTCATTCAAAACATTTTTCTGTTTTTTAAAATGTATTAAAGTGATTAAATAAATTCTTTTTCTAATCTCTATTAATTTTGAAATTTAATGGACATCTCCATATTATTCAATTTGCATGTTATTTGATTTTTCAAAATGGTATTTCAGGTGTCAAGGGCGTTCAATGAGATATGCATGCGGATGCTTAACAGAGGCTTCCTCATGATAGAGAGGCGACATGCGTTGGCATTGAAGAGTGTAAAGGCTCAGCTTCCCCGCAGAGAGTCGGAGAGGAGGTGAATTTTAACTAAAACATGAATATATGTATTAATATCTTAAAAAGTTGCCCTGTATCTGGGTGACTGCTTACCTGTGAATCATAATACATACTTGGGCAATCTAAGATCAAATAACAGCGAACAAGGAACCTGGTTGTTTGCATATACCTGCAGTATAATAACCTCTGTAGAGGATCATTGGGACATACCGTCATGCCAGCTAATTAATATTGTCTAAGTTAAATTGAGAGAGGTAGTTCAAATGAACTATGTTCAAGAAATGTTTGTTTTTGCACAAGTATGAAATATTATTAATGTATAAATATACTAAATTGTAGTATATATTGTATTTGTGTGGAAGGGGTTGGGTAATAAGTTCCAAACACCTGTGACCAAGGAAGATCTATTGAAGTAGACTCTTTAAAAGCTTATTTTCTCTCATTGCTCCTTTAATGTAAATATATGTTTTTTTTTTTTTTAAACAAACATTAGGATAACATTATCCTGTGTTGTAAGGACGTTTTACAAACATAATTGTTTGTGAGAATTGAAACCAGAATCCCTGGTGCTGTAGCCAGTACCTAAGCAATTTCGCCACGAAATGTGAAGTATATAACCTTTAGTAAATTCAACTACTGTGCAGGAAAACGATGAGTAACACATACCAGGCTTAATTTTTTTTTCTTTTAGAGATTTCTGGTCAGTTACTACTTTGTTTAATATAGTGTTTATAAAGTATTTAATTTCATGGGCATACATAAGTTGTAAATGAAAACCTGAATCTTATTCATTTTAATGTAAATTAGCATTAGTTATTTTCCCATCAGAATAACATTTTTTTATTTTATTGAGTGTCAATTTTACTTCTAAATTTTCATAATTAAAACCGTGGCAAAATGGACAAAATATGCCATTGGCTCTCGTTTGCCAATGCCAAGCTAATACACTGACTTAATGTCACCAAAGTATTTTGTGTCTAATCTGTATTTGGCGGATGTCACTTACCACTCTCACAAATTGTGTTAGGGAATGTGTGGGAAGGAACAATTTTGGTCTCGTTTAACAATTCTAAATGTCATGAAATGTAGAATTATATTCAGAAACGCCTACTAAAATCATCAGATACATTCCATGATGGCATGAACTTAGTAATATTTTCAAAAATGTAAAACTGTGTGCGAAAAGAAATGGGAATCGAACCCACGTCTTCGGCATTGGCTCTGACGCTTGCCAACTGAGCTAAAGCTGATTACCACACCGACGAAAATCTTAACGAATTCTTCCACATTGTATTTCTAGCATTTGGGCAATGCTTGGCGCCATCATTGTTATATCCTTTCCAGCATACAAACAACTTCGAATATCGTTTTACAACGATAATTCGAACGAGAGATGTCGCCATTGCTTTTTTAGAAATCTTTTCGCACTTTTTCTACATATTTTAATGTTCAATCTTAAGTGCAAAGATTAGCACTATAAACAATTTAAATTTTTAGTAATATTTGTTTATCGCAGAGTGTGTATGTACATAGTAGTAAGCAAAGTATTCATCTCTTTCTAATAACAGGTATAGTGTATTATTGCTTCAATTAATAAATGTTATATCTCTTTCTCCTACTATGTTTTTATAATTGGGATTGCAATATTTAATGTGATACGTCAACTACAAAGTTTGTAAAGTCCGCCATTTTGTAATTCGATCGCCGCAGGAGTTTTTTGTCGACGTCGTGATAATTTGTATTTTGTTGACACATCTAAAGACATTTTGTGTCGATGTTCTTCGCCTGTTTGTATACATTTTTTTTTAAAATTACTTTAGGATAATGTTGTTCCTGGTCTAAAAAGGATGGTTTTAACAAACATAAATTTCACGCGACAAACACACCCGATGCAACTTATTGGGTCACACAAATATTGTCTTGTATGGGTATCGAACCCACGACCCCCGATCGCCGTAAAGCCAATAACTTTGGCGATGTGTCGTTCGTTTGTAACTTTTTGATGCAGCATATTTGTAAGTGTCACTTGTTTACAGTTTTAATGACGGCCATTTGTGGTCGATGCTAATTTTTTTTTTAAAAATGATGTAATCTCGGCACTGGCCGTATGTGAAAGAGAGTTTGGATGCCACAATGACTACATCATGAATGTTTACGTTTTTATCTCGGCCAAGAGTTTCTGTACTGAGTTCACTTTGTTAATACTTATCGATTTTTGATTCTTTCCTATAATTTAATTTCGAAATATGTGTGTGAAATGTAAGATTTGAGATCAGGGATGGTTTTTATTTTTCAATGTCAGATTTCAGTATTAACTAATAAACTGTCAAATGGATTTTAAATGTTATTTGAGTTGCCAAAAGGAATGTTGTTAAACTCTTTGAATTGATCATTGTGATCATTAAGAAGATCACTCTGATCAATTCAGAGAGTTTAACAATCCTTTTGCCAACTCAAATAACATTTGAAAACTAATTTGACAGCTGATTAGTTGACGTCTACTATGATCAGTGTTTAAGAAACCCGGCGTAACTCTTTCAAAATTGATTGTAAAGTGTTCGTTATCTTCTTTACTTCAATCTCCTGCATTCATGGTATCTAGGTGGGGCCGGCACAGCATGTGAATCGTTTTGTAAGTCGTTTGGTCTAGGTTTTTTTAACGACCGACGTCAACCCTCGTTGGGTACAAACACCCAGATCCGCAAAAATTATCTGTCAAAAAATACTTATCCACGATTAAATTTGGAACTCATTAAACACGGTTAACCAAGAATTGAAGTCAATGATGACTGACATAACTCGCGGCTTTAGGTGTTTTGGGGTCTGTTTAGGGGCATGACGGCGTATGCAAAGCTTTTTTGCTTGTATGGAGTGCACGCGCCTGTCCTTGTGGCAATCGAACCCACGACCCCTGTGCCAAAAGGCTACCAACTTCAAAACGTGTTAGATGTGATTTTAGTAAAGAACTAGCTGTGCTCACGACTTAGTTCGAGTCGAATGATCCAAATTGACAGGCGGATAGACAGACAGGCAGACAGACAGACAGACAGGGTAGTCTTAGTAATAGGGTCCCGTTTTTTCCTTTGGGTACGAAACCATAAAAATGAATTATTTCAATGCATTTGTTAAAAAGCGGTTATTTGAATGTTACAAACAGACACTCCGTTTTTATTTATCTGTAGTATACATATAGTATAGATACTAGTTTGAACCTTGAACTCTGGTTTGTTCAGGTACCATCCGCTTGCGCGCCACTGTGACATACTGACATCCATAGAGACACGTATATCTATGCTCAACATGACGTACTCAAAGTTCATAGACACCGGCATCTGCTGTTTCATCCCCGGCAAGGTGAGTGGCCGATGACCAGTTTATTTAGATCCCTCGTCCAGGCGAACCTTACGTCTAAAACTGACGTCATCAATAAGAAATGGTGTTTTCATCCTATAACTAGGGTTGCCAACCATATAAAACTATGGTCTCTCATACGCTGCACTTACTCTAGGATAACATTATCCTGTGTTATAAGGACATTTTACGTTCATGCACTTCACGTTGACAAACGAGCAGATCAGATACAATTATTATGGCTCACACAAATAGCTGTCTCGTGTGGGAATCCTACCCACGACCACCAACGCAGAAGCTAACAACTGCAACTGCGCCACCGGATCATAACGTTTGGTTGAAACACCCCGTAGGTAATAGACGAGATCCGGCGGGTCCTGACCATAGTGGAGACGTCGAAGACCCCGCCCAGGGCTCACGAAGTGCTACAGGAATTGCGCGACATATCCAGCATGGCGATAGAGCACTTCGACGATAAAATATCGCCGGATTTCCGCAAGCGGCTGCAAGAGGGCGTGGCCCCTCCGCCCCCGCGTCCCTCGCACGGTGAGTCCCCGCTTCGAATCCGGGTACGCTCGAACTTGCACGATAGGGTCCAGCTAACAATCTTGGCACCTAAGCATGATAGGGTCCATCTTCCAATCTTGGGATCTTCGTATGACAGGCTCCAGCTTCTAATCCTGGGACGCTGTAAGTTCTGATGATAGGGTGGGTACCTTTCTGACTCATTTACCTCAGTCTTTGCTCGATAAGATCCGGCTTCCATGCTAATTAAAAATGAGCAAATGTGCGGGAGGTCGATGGATGCATGAGGAACAGGATTCGTGGCAAACTGAAAGGGAGCCCTATATCTATGAGTGGACTAAATGATGATGGTGAAGATTCTCTTGCGCTGAGGTCCAGTCATAGTTTATAGGTAGTGCGCGAAGAAAATATTGCCCTCTTGCTCTCATCGCAGAACCACTGGTGTATAGTCGCAACACAAGTTTGCTATTCGATTTTTAACTGTAATTTATACAGATGTTCGTTAATTACATTAAGCCATATCTTTCTCCTGCCCACAATAGGTGGGGGACTCAACATGACCTTTCCTTCCACTTCCCTCCGTCAGCCGTCACCTCAATACTCACACCGTTCACAGACATCGTTCTCCACACAGTCCATCCAAAACCTTTACAATCTTCCTCTACACCCTCCAACCATATAATCAACATTCTTCTAGTCACATAACTCTCATCCGGTCTCATAACGTGCCCATACCATGTTAACACACCACTTCTTATTATTTCAGTCACTTCAAATACTAACACCCCTCCATTCTTCTCCCATGATACGTGGTTCACAAAAACAGCTTAGCAACGGACCTTAGGTTAGTAACATGGCCTTGAACACCTTCGCAGCAGTTTTTCCACCTCTGGCAGTTCGCCAGGAGATGCTGCTACTCAGGAGGCGCTCAGTGCTGAGCGCCAAGCTGTCCCTCTACCTCGCAGCCCAACACAAGAAGTTCCTCAAGCAGGTGAGCTTGTTTTAGTTTTGAGCGGTGCCCAAAACAAAAAATCGCGAGCACCGTTTCTGGGAACCATATTCAGCCGGAATAATGTTTCACATAGATTCGATTTGATTATGTTTCACGATATTGTGTGAAGAAAATGGCGATTTATGGTAAATCTTATTTATTTATTTATTGTTATCTTATTGTTAAATATTGGAGTACCTCAAGGCTCTTACGTTTTACCGCACTTTTTGTTGAAATATTTCAATTAATTTAAGTTATGATTTCAATCCTGATTCAATTTTAGTGTCTTGACTGCGTCAATTAGAAAAAATAAACATTGTATCTATCCTACTTTGACGACCCGAATGTCGTAGTGGGTAGTGGTGCCTTCTGCGCCAGAGAGTGTTGCTTCAATCACCACTACTGGAAAATATTGTGTGATGAGCATAGTGTTTTTGTAGTGTCTGGGTGTTTATATACGTTTATATATTTATAATGTGTACTTATTTACAAAAAAAGTATATTTAAGTATGTCTATAGTTGTAGTAGTATAGTAGCTATCAGTTTTCTAGTACCCATAGTACAAGCGTTGCTTAGTTTGGGACTAGAGAACGTTGTGTAACAAGTATAATTTTTAACAAAAAAAACAGACTTCAATTAGAAAATTAAAACATTGTTAATACCTATAACATTCCATGATGGCCCTCGATTTCTCTCGGATGCCATCATCAGATCTGGAATTCCTAATCATGGTACCACCCTTGGGATATCTCCTTTCCAACAAAGAATCATCAAAATCGCTTCATAAGCGACGAAGTTATCCACGAACACACATAAAAAAAAATATATATACGGTCGAATTAAGAAACCTCCTTTTTTGAAGTTGGTTAAAAAATGTGTCCTAAAATATTTATATATTTGTTCTAGGAAGAAATAATATCCTTGAATATCCACTCAGTACATGATAGTAATCTCAGTTTCGCGAACATTAAATTCAGCGACATTGCGTCTAGCATGTTCGCCAATACTGACGGCATATTCTGATATTTTTATTTATCTATTTATTTCTTTTGAGGTTGAGGTCTACCAACATTGAGCACATTAAGCAGGCAAATTTAATTAAAAACTAAAAAAAAGCTGGCTGTGTTTACCTATTTATATTGGAACATTACAACATTCTTAATATAAACTTAGGCCCTTATTAAAATAAATTAATCTATAAACTAGTGTGAGAAAAATGTTGAACAATATTGTCGGAAGCAAATTGTGATTAATGGTATTACTTACATCGTTAAAGTAATGGAGTACCACAAGGCTTATTGCATCAAAAGATGTGGCCTAAGACTGATGCCATACAATTTAACAACAGTTTATTTAATTCATGTATCAAATCTTCATTAAATTATTGAGTTTTCACTGCGTCAGCAAAAAAAAATTAAGACTGTTTTCATTCATGGGAACAATGACGTTTAGGAAGAAAAAATATTGAATATGCACTCACTACACGATTTAGCCTATTTCTTATGGACAGTCTCCGGGAAGTGAACAGCGAAGGCACGATTTTGTCGGACACCTGTCGCGTACACTCAATAGTTGCATTCAAAATTATATTTTATGCGGTCGCCTTAAGGTGAATTTCGCGTCGACGTGGAGTTACAATTTGCCCATTTCAGATGTCACAGTACGAACGCCTCGCCGCTAGGCAGAGGAAGACCATCAGGGATCTATCCAAGAGGCAGAGGGAGCAAGATGCAGCTATCGGTATGACATACACATCTGTATAACACATGAAGAGAAAATTTGGAGTGGGATTTTTGCATTGTTAATGTTTGTACAGGGAAAAACCAAAATTAATATGCAATATGTGCTACAAATAAATAAGATCAAACACAACATTCAATGCTTTTTCATAGTGTCAATGTCTAATATTTATGTATGATATATTGTCTGTTGTCAAAAAATGCATGGATTAAAAAAAATTCACTAAAGACTGACATCATCATTGATTGACAAGACATTAAATGCGATTGATAACGGCTTAATTAAATAACTTGGAATTATAGGCAAATGTTAAAAAGTTGGTGTACCTTCAGGTGTCATTGTAAAAATTCACACTCATCATTTCAACTAAACGCGCCATAAAAAGTTTAACTTCAAAAGTACAACAGAAATGGTAAACTACTACTTGAAGTCTGTTTAAAATAACCCTATATGTACCTTGAATTACTCTGTGAACTATGACAATTATTATAGGAAAGTCAATGTTCTATCCATACTAATATTATAAATGCGAAAGTAACTCGGTCTGTCTGTCTCGATTTCACGCCAAAACTACTGAACCGATTTAAATGAAATTTGGTACACAGATAGTTTAGAGCCTGAGAAAGGACATAGGCTATTATGTATATTATTAATTGGAATTTTTTTTTAAAGAAATGTATTTAAGGGCTTCACGCTAGGGAAGCCGCGGTCGAAAAGCTAGTTGTTAATATATGGACTTGTCAAATTCACAGCGGACTTGAAGAAACGCATAGAGGAGTGCGACATCAAATACAGCGAACTGACGCACACCAACCAAGCGGTCGGAGGCAAAGCTATGGCCGGTGAGTATTCTCGACGAACTTAAAATAGCGTTCTCATGTTTTTAAAAACTCCAATAGTCCATAGTTAAATTAAACTACTTAGATGACAGACTGTCCTGTTACCATCTCAATCTCAACGTTGGGCAACTCAAAAAGTGCATAAATCTGTAGTACAGTTTCGTTTAACAATATTTAAATTACTTAACTTGTTTAATAACTAAAATTATTCACCAAGAATTGCTTCAAATGCTAAATAACAATGTAGAAAGAAGGCGTTAGGGATTTTCGTCGCTGTGGCTATCAGCAGTTTAAAAGGGCTTATAAAAAGCATACAATATTAATTAAATATAAACTGAGGTAAAGAAAAACATTCTATTTCAATTACATAATTGAAAAGGTTAATTATTGGTTTCAGTGACTGCTGCCAGTGAGGGCTCCACCCCATCACAACCCCTGAGGCACTTTGGCAGCCAAATTAAGTTGGACCTCTCCGTTCTACCCATTGGCACCTCCAAGAGGGGTCAGACACGTAAGTTGACCACTAAGGCAACCAAAAGATAGTTCAGTAGACCAGTTTAGCAATGGAAAAGAAAATAGATTGGCAAATCGATGCACTTATATTGGTATTTGAGTGGGAATGAGCTTGCCAGATATGTAATTTGAACTCAAAAACTATCAGTAGACCTAATAGTCAGTGTTGCCACCTTTAAATAAAGTGGGCATAGTCTGCCTCACTCAACAGACGAAACGCAGAAGTGCAGGAAAGACATGGTAAACTTTAGTAAGTTGTCTTGCGCTGTACTTTCGTCTCTGGTGAGAATCGAACCCGCTAGCCGTGACTGGCTCGTCCAATTATAAACCAAACTGATGCTCTTGCACGCTTTCGAAATTCGTTTACAACGTTTCTTCCTCAACAGCGATGCCGAACATAAAGCCGCGCAAGCCGCTCATCAAGCTGCCCAGTCTGGCAGACGAGGGTGCCGCCTCTTTCGCCTCTTCTGCCTCTGCGGCCTCTTCGGCCTTTTCGGCCTCTCCGACCTCTTCGGCCTCTGCGAACTCTTGCGTCTCAGCTGGCACTCGGGCCAGATCCGCCGCCGCCAGGATCCGCAACATCGCCGACGAGGTCCGCCACCTGACGAGGGCCTTCGAGGGTGCGTGATATTACACATAGGTTTCATTAAATCCAAACACCGCGTCAGCGCCGAGTGTTGCTTGTAATGCGAAAGAAAAACGTAGTTATAGATAATACCAATATAATAATAGTGCCAATCGGCCGTTTTATTTCCCGGGCGAACCGCCCGTTCACTTGTCAACTTTTCACAAGAAAACAGTGTTATATACGCAACATTTGGATATTTTTATGTGTGGAGTTAGCAATAGAGCTGGCGGTTCACCTGATGTCAAGTGAGAACCGCCGCGCATGGGTATTTGTGGCACCTGTATGGTTGCAGATGTGTTGCCACCTTTTAATTAAGCGTGCCTCGGCTGCCCCACTCGCCAGATTTTCTACTTTAACATGTATTGCAGAGGGCAAGCTGAAGAGACAGCTCGCCCACAGCGAGCAGGAGGCCGGCGGGAAGAAGCTGAAGCGTGACTGACTCCGGCCGCCGCCAGGTGGCGATGTGACGAAGTCGCGTAGGCGGTGACAAGCCCGTCGCCCCTTGAGCGGCGACAGGCCCGTCGCCCGTAAAGCGGCGACAAGCTGGCGCCGTCTCCGTTGCTGCCCACCCCGTATACGTCGGAGGCGGCTTCTTGCGTTCTTGACGCGTCGCGTTTAAGTCTCTGTCTCGAGTATAGATGGCGTTGTAACCAACGGTTTTGTGTGGTATGTGTGAAATTAATGGAGTTTTCGTGAAATCTCCGCACTGAAAAGTAACACTTCACTTGTGTCAAATTCTTCCATTTGACACGAGTTTCTACTTTTAAAGACTGCTATTGGCAGCGCGGATTTAGTGCTAATCGACGTCTCTGCGTGCGGTCGCAGGTATTTTAAAATTCGTTTAGCGGCTTATTATGTCTTTAGTACTGAACATATAAAGTATTCTATTTGGTTAGTATATTATCCGACATGGCATAGAAAGCATGTAAAGGTTTTCTCACAGTCGATAAGTTTGAAGAGTATGTTGTGATGCGTTATTATATGTTCGTTATAATTAAATCGATTATATAAATTTTAGACGGCATTCAATTATGTGTATAAGAGTCAAGGTTGTCTTTCACGATACCTCAAATTACAATGATCACTTTATGGTGACATGCCCTAACCATCAAAAAGTATTAAACATGATCTAGAATTTGTTTATTTTGATTATGATGAAAACTGATTATTTGTATAATCAACATAATAAATAAGGTTTTATTCTTTCAAAAACCTAAAATTTGTATGTCTATGTCTAAGTGAATATGTGTCGGACATAACTTATTATCATATTATTTTATACCAATATAGTTATGTCAGATGCATTAATTACGAACAATACTAGAGTAAAATTTGACATATACAGGACACTTATTTTTGTTCATACAAAATACTTCCTTTTATTCGATCATAACCTCTAGATTATGTTAAAAAAATCAAAAACGAGTTATAGTTATTTCAAAATGAATTTTATGGACATTTTTAGGGTAAAAGTGGTCATTGTCGTTTAAAACTAAAAACTGAACGTGTCCCAGTAAAGTTGGCTCCGCCTGAGTTCTTGGCACGTACAGTCAAGGGCAAAGCCTGAATGGCAAAGTTGCTCGCGACTCTACGCCTATGCGGATGGAGCGAGACAAAGCTATTTGCACTGCGGCGAGAGTGAGAGGGTAGTACATCCTGAGTTTCTTGATGCACATTGAAGATTTGCGCTATCCTTTAAGATTATATTAAATGTAATATTTTCAGTCCTAGGGACTATGAATTGCTTTGCAAGTCACGCTGACCCCTATACTAGATTTTAAAGTAATTTCTAGATTTAGGTCACTTTAGCACCGACAGTCACCGATTGTCACACAACCTATCCAGTGACATTTTTGTGGATTGGTACGTGTTAGTAAATATTTTTTTCTATATAGGATAAAAAAATATATTATTTAGATAATTCACGTTTTCATACTGTTGTCGCGTTGTCCGTACAAAAATCTCTATAAAGTTACATTTGCATGTCTCTTGTAGGACGTGCATAATTGGAGTCAATTATGCACTTTCGGTTCCAGCCAGAAATCTTAATTAGCGCTTAATTTGGATTAAATTCGTTGTTTTATTGGGCGGGTATTTTAAGCTAAATATCGCAAATGGACAAGTTTAGTGCATGTGAAGGGCTAAGCAAAATAAGAGATTTTGCGGGACGAAGATGCGGTCTATAATGCCGCGAACTGTACATACTGGACTTTTTTATAATTTTATAAAAATGGAATTTTTTTAAAGGAAGTGCCAAATTATTTACTCCAGTCTAATTGGATCTCTTTCCTTTTTCTCTCGTGTAGAGTATAATATTAGGGTAACTTGATTTTCCCTAGAAATAGGTTTTTAAATGATGGAAACACCGCTTTGGCAATGTGCAGTGCTGCCAGGTAACTTTCAAAGTAACCTGTAGCAATGTAACGGGAAGGAATATTTTCTTTTAATAATCTGTGGTATTAAGAGTAAGATAAATGTTATAATGGTTATATAAAATTGGTTATAAGTATCTAATCGAATCTATGGTATAGTTCTCATAATATGGCTATTAAATCGACAGGTATATTATATTACATGATTGTATTCTGGCCGCGATTTTACATTAGATGTTTTCTATAAAGTACGTAGTGACTATCATAACTACGCATTTTTTCAATTTAAGTGTAGTAATCTTTTCCGTTTATTTGACTAGAAATTTCCATTGATAATAAATCAAAAACTTTCAATCCATTTCTTGACAAAATGATTTGTTTCTTTTGTTTAAAGTTTTGTACTTTATAGATAAACAATACATTAAATTTGCGTTTGATGAATTTTACCTTAACTTGAGAATGAATTCTTTAGCGGAAAGCGGTTTATTTTATACCGGAATCTACCATAGAAATGTACAATCGCGAACATACGTTGGTACCTACAGTATTGTATAAATCGGGGCTTCTGTCAATGTAATAACAGAGTGGAATAGCTGATATACGGTTCTCTTTCATTGACGGCGAATTTACGTCATGAGAGAGCGAGACGGCAGTATCTGCCGTTCCATTTGCCGTTCCATTTGTTTCGAATGAAATATTTGTTTTCCTTTTTACGTCGTGTATCTAATATTATGGTCTTAGATTCTGTATAATTTTTACGGACTGTTTAGTAACCTCTAAATCCAAATAATCCTTGTTTAGTTCACTATACTTAATCCGCCTACTATTTGATTGTGCTAACGCATATTTCACCTTAAAAGCTGTTAAATTAATATATGTTATTAAGTTGAGACTGTAAAATTAATGTAACGGAGTAAAGATGTCTATCCTTCATTTGTGTTGACCTAATAAACTGTCACTGTGTTGTTTTGTTTCATTTATGCGGTCGCTTCAAACTGGTTGAGGGGAGAGAATGTAAGCGAGTTGACTGCCTGAGATATGATTTCGAAGCAGCAAAGAGAAATTTGAGAAAGCACGTGGTGGTAAGGTGAAAAATCTTAAGGAATTTTAACGGTGTTAACATTTCCTTTTGGTTTATTGCTTTTTGCGTTATAATTTTAATAGGTACGTAATAAGTCATGGAAGTAAATCCTAGAAGGATTTTCTGCAGACATTTAGTTTTCGAGAAATTATTTTTCTGAATTTTATAGGTTAACTACTAGGAATCGTTTCGAACAGTATTCTTTCGTATTTCCGCCCAAAAGATTTACATAACTACATTCTATAGCATAAGGTAAGGAAGATAATGTTTTTATCATCTTTTAACGTGTATAATCCAGACCGAAAAAATATTTTTTGGTCTTTAAATAAAATGACTGGAATAGAAAATATAACAGAGGTAAATATATTTTTAATATTCTTCCAAGTTGATTAAGTTTTTTAATATCATAATGGTCCAACTCAGATAGGTTAGAAGGTTAAGGCGGGAGCAGCGCTCCTGTTGTTGGTTATTTTATAACCACCCTGAAATAGAGCCCCACGTACCAGCGCCAAGGAAGAGCTTCCCACTACCACGGTCTGATTCTAAATAAATACCACCATAGTATTGCATAGGTTGGGATTTGGCATAGTATTTCTTTAATATATTTTCAGGAACTATACATTTCTGCACGCCCCCCTCTGTCCTAATAAGTAAGAAGTAGTCTAATTAATATATAAAGTTGTTACGCTATCCTCACTATTTTATTTTGGCCGACCAACCCACAGTCTTTAATAATATATTATACTAAAGTAATACCTTTCCTTTTTTTGACGTTTTTATGTTGAACTTTGGAGACTTGTGGGTATTCGCTGGGAAATAAACAAATTTGGTTTAAGACACATTATAATATACGTGAAATATTTGTGATTATAACATTTGCTGATGATTGTAGCTTATACCAATTATTATTTAATAAATTATCATAGCGAGAACATTTAGATGTACCTACTTCTTATATTTACAGATTATTTCTACACACATTACTTAGCTTTGAACATTGGCAATTTAAATAGAGTTACTTTTTATTAAACTTTAAAAAGCAGACAGAGAGCAAAATATTTCAATCAGTTTTGTATTAAATAAATTAAAAATAATTACTGTTAATAACTCAATACAATAAAACATTAAAAACCTTTTATTAAATAATAAACATCATTTAGTAATTGCACGTACCCAAAATATATTTTACAACCAACGTTAAATTTGCAATTTGTTTTAAATTGTACATACCCAAAAGTATACATAATTTAAAAAGCTCTGACAAAAAATGACTTCACTGTATTAGGGTTCCTGACTAGTATTTAAGGACAAATTTATGACGCGTTACATATCTATTTTAATATTATCAAATAAAAATAGACATCACCAAGCCACGGTTCGCCTATGGTGTTTTCCAAATTTTCTCAAAATTTATTAATTTGAAACGAATTATTATTATTATTAATACGAAAAAAATATCTCTTCGTTGAACATAAAATATTTAATTTTTTAAATTTACATACTACTAATTTGGGTATTATTCGCTGTATACAAATACTTCACAAATAAATATATAAGTAGTATTATTAGCGGACCTGACAGATGTTATCCTATATACACGTCTTAAATCCGAAAACTTCAAACTTTTTGAATAAGTTCTTCGTAAAACTAAACCATTCTCGAATCGACCTGAAGACACACAAAAAATTCTTTAAAATCGGTCCAACCGTTTAGGAGTTCGGTGATATCCACACATACAGAAGAATTATATATATAAAGATATGTAATATACTACTTGATTGTATCTCTCCATTATAAAATACTTCATTGTCTTTCATTTAAATAAAGTGTCAATAGAATGCATTATCGTACATGTTTTCAATCATGAAATATTTTTTTTAGAAGATTAACATTCCACTTGTCTACTTTTGTGAATAGAGGCAAACATAAGCTTCTGAATAGTGAAAGACGATGAATTTATGTAAGTTATACCAAAAAACATCTGAGAAATAATTATAACATTGAGATAAGTTTTGTTTGCCGCGAAAGACATTTCTCCGTGGAAGTAAAAATATAAGAAAAGAATAGCTTTATACCGGGATAACGTAACATTTGTAATTTCTTAATAGTGTTATCCGGTATGACGTCGACTGTTTTATCAAGCAGTAAAAAATAATTGCACATTAGGTGTCAAAAGTCTCGAGTAATCACGCATTTACGCAATACGTCCACGTTTACGTGCAAAATGTCCACGTTTACGCAATTGGCGTACTGCAAGAGAAAATTTACCATTATCTAAATACAGCACGACACTATAGAAACTTTCTCGATGTTTTCTCTTCAGGCGGGAAATGTTTGACGTGTATATATTTTCGCGGCAAAACTCATGGTGGCCATTTTGGAATTAGGCAGCGAACCGTGACCAAACTTCCCGCCATTGTGTGAGAAACAATTACAAATAGAATTAATCGTTGTATCAAGATCTTGCGATTTTGTTGTTTTATGTAAACCAAAACTTTTTCTTTAAAGATTTTAACAGTGTATTTAATATTGTATTTGATAAATATTAATTAACGGTTCGTTTTTTATTTTCAACCATTACTTAAACTAAAACATTTAAAAGCCTTCTTTTTCTTTGTCACAGATTTAAACTATGTTAAAAATTATCTTTGTAAGTAGACTGTGGAAAAATGTTCTATATATTTGAAAACGAATTTAACCCCGTATTTATTGTTTTTAAATGTAAGTTCAAATATTCTATGTGGTATCTTTCAATTTAAAAGCGTTATTTACTAGTAATTTTTAACTCTTATGAACGAACACATGCAAATCGTTTAAATGTTTATATTCTAGAAAGATTTATGTTCATAATGAGGGCATTTCATTAATGAACTATGTTACTAATAATTTAAGCCTAATTTAAATAGTGGCGTGCCGAACCGGAAACACAACATTTTGCTGTAATTATTTTTTTTTTGTTCAATTGCCTTTGGATTGCCTTACAGAAGCTATAAGCACCACAATGCTTTTCCAGTTGATTAGCCAGTCAGTTCGTCTTTTGGAAAGTAGGGAAACTGTATTAAGTTTTTCGAGGCACTGGAGTCGTGAAAAACTATACAACAATCAACATTGTGGTAACTATGTATGTCTATTTGGTGCGTATCTCTGGACGCCCCTGAGTATATTTATTCTATTAGTACCCATGCCTCTGAACGCATGGCCGAACTGTGACCACTAAATTTTGTTTAATTACTTGGTCTACAGTGGTTAGCGTAAGGTTCTGTACTGAAGTCGCGAGTATTTTTAAAACTATAGACATTTTGATAGCTATGTACGATTATGTTTGGTTTGTGCGTTTCTCTTAACGCTACTGAATATTTCTTGGGTTTCTACGCCTTTGAATGCATCTTTCAAATCTGCAGGATTAATCACGCTTTCCTTCACCGCCGAGCAATTGATAAGTCAGCACTTAAAATTAACAATTAAATTGGTGCCGGCATCGGGATTTGAAAAGCGAGCGCCTTGACACACCCAACACTGGCTATGACATTGAAGTGCCGACGGCCCTCGATTCCGGACGCGTTGGGACCTGGCGCGGCGTTTACTTGAGACGGTCGTAGCTGATGTCCGCGTGGAAGCCGGACGGCCCGGCCGAATACCGGACACTCTGCAAGCGGCCGTCCGGAAGCAGCACGTGGTACTGGCCGCTGGTGGCGCCGTCCCTCTTCGCCTCTGTGTGGCCGAAGTCGTTGCCGCTGTGGTGGTTGTACCCGGTACCCGAATTCGTAGTTCGCCGCGTATTGGAGCTGGGGAAAGAGCGGACCACTCTTCAGACAAGTACACTCATTTATTTACCCTTTATGCACAAATAGTACATTGGCGGACTTAATGCTAAGTGCAACCAAGTCAACCTTGGTTTGGAGAGAAAATTGGGTAGGTGCACAGAGAGATTTCTAAAAAGTAAAACGCGAATATTTACAAACTATGTAATGTATATGCATATGTTAAATACAGTACTACAACTCTTGCTTTATGAATGAGAATATGACCAGCCTGTTAGGCGAAATGAAAAAAAATCAAAACTCGAAAATCGAAAATATTTTTATTCACATAGACTTGCTTGCGCGTTCTTATGAAATGTTGAAATTTTACAAAGCAATCAATACGTTCGTAAGTTACCAAGGGCTGATAGCACGGAGTGATTGGTTTATTTTATTGGATAAAGTGGTAACCCGCATCAGCCTTCATAACAGATCGCGCTTTTCCGTATACAATGAGTCGGGGCCGCACCCGGCTCGTATGAGGGAGTGCCATAGCCCGACAGTACGGCGTAATGAAGGTAATGAAATAGGTAATTTTAAGTGATCTTGTAAGAGACATTGATAATATAAGGGGTGACGCAAGTGCGTTGGTAAAAGTTTAGAGGCCCTGATACATAAATATTAGGTCTACCGGAAAGTTCTGTTCGCTCCGGTTACAACCAGTTTCAGCAAGTATGCGCATATTCCTGTGACATATTTGGCTCTCTCTTTTGATCGCTAACAATATATACACATTTTCGTCGCAGATGAACTAAAACGAAGATCATTCTTATTAGTATTAAGTAAGACGCAATCGTGCAACCATGGCTACCGACAAAGTTCATTTACGCCACTGTAGTTTGTGCGAATTCCAACAAGGAAGAAATGCTACAGAAGCGTATAGAAATTTATTGAAAGTGTTTGGTGAAGGTACAGTTTCCGGTAGAACATGCAGAAGATGGTTCAAAAAATTTCATTTCATCATCTTTGATCGACGACGATACTGTTAAGATCATGTTAGAGCAAGATCCTTTTTTGTCAACATCGGAGATTGCGGAAAGGCTTGATTCAGCTCAACAAACCATTTCCGACCATTTTCGGAAACTAGGGTTTGTGTGGAAGTATTCGAGATGGGTGGCACACAAGTTAAGTGAGAAGAATTTGAATGATTGAATCATCATATGCACATCTCTGCTTGCACGCAACAAAATCGAACCCTTCTTGGACCGGAACATAGCTGGGGATGAAAAGTGGATTACCTATGAAAACATCATAAGAAAAAGGGCATATTGTGAACCCGGTAAACCTGCCCCCTCTACCACTAAACCGAAGTTGAGCCTGAACAAGAGAATGTTGTGTATATGGTGGGACATTCGAGGACCAATACATTTTGAGCTGTTGAAACCAAACGAAAGGCTAAATTCGGAGAGGTACTGTCAGCAATTGGATAAATTAAAAACAGCACTCCAAGAAAAGAGGCCGGCGATGTTCAATAGGAAGGATATCATACTGCTTCATGACAATGCCAGGCCACATGTTGCTTTGGGGACTCGTCAGAAAGTCGCAGAGCTAGGCTGGGAAATTCTGTCGCATCCACCATACTCCTACCTACTCGGACCTAGCACCATCTGATTATTACTTGTTTCTGTCCTTACAAAATTTCTTGTAGGGCAAACAATTCAAGAACGAAGAAGATATCAGACTAGCACTGGTTCAATTTTTGGCCTCTAGAGATAAGACATTTTTTTTAAATGGGATATACAAATTGCCATCACGCTGGCAAGAAGTCATAAATAATGATGGCAATTATATTATTCAATAAAGTTTATCCAAAGTTAGAAAAAATGTATTCCTTTGTTTCATTCTTTAATGGACAGAACTTTCCGGTGGACCTATTATATTTTTAGATTATGCCGGTCGTCTGAGGGGTAATAAATAATAATTAAACGTATGTAGCGGTCCCTTTAGGCAACAGTTGGTTGTATTGATTACTATTTGAATGATCCTGCCGAATCGCTGAACATATTGAGCGAAAAAAATAAACTAAATTATTAATATCAAACAAAATTAAAAAAAAAACCGAATTGTCATTGCTTGCACTCGACTAAACTACTACACAAGATTCAATGAAAGAATTTTACGTACTATCATTATTATCAGACGAAATACGTCCAAAATTGAACAAAGATCTCCCCCTTAGATCGCCACAATGACACCTTAGATCGACACTATAGCCATTTTCTCATAACAGAGTAAGAGACTAGAGCTAAATCTAAGTAAAAAAATGTGTTTTACATAACGAATTCATTATGTAAAATGAAACGGACTTGGCATGCCGATTATGAATGGAGTTTGTATTTGTTTAATGAATAGTTTCCGGCTACATAGCTCGAAAACCGATAACGGTCAACGATGCCTTAATAACCTCTGCAAAAGAGGCCCAGCAGTGCGACAGTATACAGGTTGTTACTGCTGCTATTTGATTAAAGTTTATTGTATAAATTCAATCAAATTTATAGTGTAGTTTAAATTTTTTTCCTAACGTCTATTTAATTCAATGCCGTTGGCACTTTAAAAAATATGATACATGAATAAAAACTGAATAACAATTGTAGTAGTGAATAACGTGAAGAGAATAAATTCATGTTAATATATTCTATAATTATATATGGGTGTGTCCGAGAGTAAAACATACGTGTTGTTTGACATACATACATTGATTTTTGTATTATTTATCATAATTACGCTTTCCGCAATTTTTAGCAAATACATTTGTCACAAATAAGAAAATTCTTTATTTAATAATAACCTGAACTAAAAGTCTTGTGTTTGTGATCTAAATTTTTTTTGCATTTTATGTTAAGTAAGTGAAGTAATCATAATATGTATTAAATCAATAGTAATTAAATTATTTAGCCTAAAATGTTGAGTTTTATTTCCATAACCAAAAATTGCAATAGATGTTATCATAGAAAACAATTTAAAGTAATACTATTAACTGATGGGTTTTAATCAAAATTAAAAAACAAAATTAAATTTTAAAATGTACAAACCAATATTATTTCATTCTTATATACATTTAACATTTCAAGATGTCACTTTTCTCTTCTATACGGATCATTAGGGTCACACACAGTTTTATCCAATAATCTTTGAGTACAAAAGCTGCGAGAGATTGGTCTGACAGTTTCGTAATTTATTTTCGACGATTTTGAAAATGGTCGAGGTAGAATGGGGTGAAATGTTTTTGGTGAGCTGATAATGAGTGTCGCTAGGTGCGATAGTACGTAAACATAAAAATTTATTGAAAAATTATTATTTAAATTCAAACACACTATTTGTAAAACATTGATATTTGAAATGTTATTTAAAATAACGTTTTAAATTTCAAATTGTATTTTCTATGTAATCGTGTCGTGTTATTCAATTAGTATTTAATATTATAATTTTTTTGTTCAGTAAAGTGTTTGTAAGTATTAAAAACATATATTGTCCATTATAATCATAGAAATAAGACAATGAAAAACCGGATGCTCATTAGTATTTCTCTCTAGTATTACCATTGTACCATTATTATTATATATTATTTCTTTTTATAAGAGTATATAATAAAACATTGCTTTTTATTTCTACTCTGTTCGGACTTTTTGAAGATTCTTTATATAATATGGATATTATAACATTTCAACTTATGAATATTTTTAATGAAACATATTTCCAATGAACGACTTTGTGTCACTCTTCTTTGTAGAAAAATTTTCGACGTTTACGAATATCTAACAACATAAATTATTACATTCTCACATAAATTATTAAATATCACTTATATCAATACAAATCACAAAACAAAATTTGCACACCGTGAAGGTACCTAGCCACAAAAATTCTTATAAAAGCTAGAAAATCCATAAAAATTCATAAATAACAACTCGACTAAAATAGGAACCGTAAGGCTTACTTCAGAAACTCAAAGCTGTTTCGTTTATATGTTTAAGTAAAGAATCACTATTGGGGCCATCCATTAATCACGTGAGGCTCGAAAGGAGGGCTTTTGGCAAAACTCACGAAATATCACAAAGGTGGAGGGGGGTTTAGTAAGATATCACGTGTATTCATTTTTTCGTCAAATGCGCTAAACCGAAAAGCAGTGTGTAGTGTGACCTTGACTCGCCGTTACATTTTTAACATGGTCCTTAATTTCAGAATAAAATTATATTACACTCTAAACCTGCGTTTAAAGATAATATTCTAAAAATTTTGAGATTCTTGTGATTTTTTTCACGTGATTTTGGGTGTGGGGTGGGGTCTTAAAGCTCACGCATCACCAAGGGGGAGGAGGGGGTTAAAATGCTAAAAAACCTGACTTGATTAATGGTATGGGTTCGGGTGTTAATAACGATACGAAAGAAGAAAGTAGATAACTCCATTACGACATCACTGTGACTGTGACATTTAAGTTTACTTAAAGGTCAACATGACCAGTACTTAATAATACGAACAACTGTTACATATGCAGTTGCCGCGAAAGTAAACTTTTAAATGACTAAGGTCCTTTAGTTGCAATCTTCTGCTTAACTATGCTTTAATTAATGTCAACTGTGTTTCCAACTTTATGTCTAATATTCTTACGCCCGGTTTCTGAAACACTGATCAACGTAGATGTTAACGAATCAGTTGTCAAATGAATTTCAAATTTCATTTTAGTTGCAAAAAGGATGTTTAAACTCTTTGAATTGATCATTCTGATCATAAAGAAGATCATTCTGGTCAATTCAGAGAGTTTAACCATCTTTTTGGTACCTAAATTGCAATTTGAAATCCATTTGACAGCCGATTAGTTGACATCTACGATGATCTGTGTTTCAGAAATCGGGCGTTAATGTTTTATTATTTGGTCAAAGTTTGGTGGCGGAGGTAGATATAGTCGTTACTAGAGCTTGTAGCTTATGACATACTAATGTCCGGTTTCACCATCGATCCCTAACTTTAAGGGACACCTAAAAAAATTAAGTGCTAATTTCCAGGCTAAAACCGTTTAAGTGTCACCTAAAGTTTTAAGCGTGAAACTCAAGCGGTGGTGGCATTAATTTTTCTTTTAGGTGTCCCTTAAAGTTAGGGACCGACGGTGAAAACAGACATAAGAAGCACAGAATTTGACATAGAAAAGTAGAATTAGTGTCATCGTCTAAATGACGTGTAAATTGTGCAGCTTGATTATATTCTTTCTGAACTGTTTGCTCCTGTAAGGCGATCTCTTTCTGTACTTTCTGGGATAATGGCTAGGACTTTTCGACAGCTGGTACACGTCCAAATGCTCTATGTTTAAGTTGTGGTGACCGACCAGCTTGGCGAGCTGCCTCTGCGTCAGCAGGTATACCGGCTCAGGTAAGTGCGGTGAGCCTGGTGTCAGTGCGTCAAAGCTGTGTGGCGCGCTGTACGCGGTACTATATTGCGGACCGTACGCAATTGGCGCGATCGCAAAATTATTGGACCCGTAAGCGGCACCTGAAATCGGTATGTGAGGAAATCGCTTAACGGCTCGCCCTTTAGTGAATTCGCCGTTGATTTTGACGTTTTGGATGTACGTTTCCGAAGGCGCGTACGTCTCGAAAGCGTCAGCGAAGTGTTTCTTTCGGGGGATCGAGAATGCATTCGGACTTGTGTAGTCCGATGTCTCGTATTCGTAGTCTTGGTCGTCGTCGAAGCTCGCGTAGTCCTCGTCGTAAAAGGCCTCTTGCGTCCCGTAATTACGGCTGGGCCTTTTAAATGGGTCGTTTGCGCTGTAATCGATCGCCTCGCCGATCGGAAAGTTGGGCGTTGTCAGAAACGTGCCGAATTCGGCGGTACGCTTGCTCTTCTGTACCGGCCTTATTCTAACCCAAGGCTCTGGTTTAAGGGGTTGCGTGACGTTAGACGACCCCGTTAGCATATCCGTCGAGTGATTTCCGGTTGATAAAACGAGCTGGTTCCTCTCTAATGGCGATCTTTTACTTCTCGAGCGACTAAAGTGTCCGTTTTGGTTAATAGAATACTCATTTATACTTACGTTCTCTTCGTCGTACGCCGATACTCCCGTCCCGTCGTTGTTCAAGTGCTGAACACCGCTATTTGCGCTGTGATGCAGATATCTCTGGCTTAAGTCTCCATCAGTATCCTCTGCATCATAACCGTATGCTGTCGGTTGCTGTGCGTACTGAAGTGCTTGATATGTCGGCTCTGTTTCTTCTTCCTTTACGCTGTACTGTTCTTGAAAAAGCGGGTTGTAGCCCGCACTCAATATCTGGCTAGTAAGTTCGGAATTTATGAATTGTATATTCTTCGACGCTGTTACATCCAACTGTGGTGTAACCGATGCGGAATGTTCTCGAAATCCCACCATTTCCTTTGACTCTTCTGCAAGGTTCACGTCTTCTTTAATCTGTGTATGTTCTTTGATGTTGCTAGCCTTATTCGGCTTATCCTTTAGATAGAAGTACAGGTCTATCGGTGTCTCCAATTCCTTGTCATGGTTAACGTTGACTTTAGCAGAATTGATCAATGCGTTGAACTCGGTCAGCTGATCGCCGGGATTCTTGTTCAGGAGAGAGTTCAGCATATCGATATTCTGAACTGACTGGTATTGCTGAGCGGGATAAATTCTTTCTGAACCCGCTGCGAGATCTGCATATAGGTTGGATGACTGAGTGTGCACCATTTCGTTGATGGTGTTAGGTTTTACTCGACCTTGACTATAACTTTCAGGCGCGGGGAGATGAACGGTACGGTATCTCGGCACCACATACTGCTGATATTCCACGGAGCCATACGACCGGTGGTTCCTCGTGCGTTCCCCTTTCATAGCATCAGCTTCAGAAAGTTTTACTGGATCGATTTGTTTTGGGTTCCTCTTGGCGGATTCCCTTTGGCTCGGGGCTGGTGTTCCCGCTTCCGCCTTCGTCTGTTGCTGCTCCAACGCCAGCTGGTGGTTCTCCTGCGACTCGTGGTAGGCGCGCATGTAGCTGTCGATCATTGGCGTCTTCGTCCATCTCTGCAGCTGCGCTTTGTGCTGTCGCACCCTCTCGGCGTGGAACATCGCCTGCTGGTTGTGTGCGTGCAGCCTCGCGTTCGTCTGCGAGTTGCCCGCCAGGGGGTTTCCATAAGGCAGGTTCGTCTTTCCTGTTTTTATCTGCCTGTCGTCCGCCCTCGGCTGCTCGTTTATCACCTCGTACACCGGCCTCGCGTTCGTCTTCGCCGATGACGTCACATGCAACGTCACGATTACGACCGCAGTGATGCATGTCAATCTCCGCTGGATGTGTAGCGCCATATTGTCTGAAAGTTACAAAATTGACTTATTTTTTTTTTATTTATTTATACTTCATTGTTACACCTTAGGCTAAAGGCTACAATGGGCGGACTTAAAGCCTAATGGCATTCTCTTACTTAGCTCAACTTATTGTTGCTGATATAGTTATGTTTGCTTGCTATAGTTTTGTTTGCTGAGAAAAATCAATACTCTGAACCGGTTACACATGTTAATTTTGTATGTATTTTAGTATATACTGAGCGAAACATTTTATATAACCAAGTGTTGTTTAACAGTTCAGTACCACGACCTCACAGAAGACCGGCCTGAAGTAGAAGCGTTATACTTCTACGTTTTGTCTGGTGAGTGAGGTAAAGAAGACTCACTTTTTTAAAAGGTGGCAACGCATCTGCGATAAAACTGAACGTCGTGCTAAGCTAATTTTTCAGAATTGCTTTTATTTAATTTCAAGTTTTCATTGTAACCGTTTCTCTGGTTTTGCAGCACGTATGTTCTCTGGATTAACCTTACGATTAGACGTGCATTATGCATACCTAATTAAAGTATGCATTATCCACGGCTTCAAGCTAAATTTCTTTAATGTGCGCACATCATTAAAAAGTTAGGCAAGTGGTCGGCACGCGACTTATTGCGGTGAAGGGGAAGGAAGTGAAAGCCAGAACTAAGATGATGCCAGATAAAGAAAGTTAAATGTTACCATAGGTTATATCTTACAAGATGGACGTAAGAAATATTTTTATGACAGTTAACTGTACGTGCAATACAACAATTCGAATTATTTATTAAACTATGAATGATGCCATTTTAAAGGTGCGAAAACTTGAATTTTCTCAAAGATCAAGTTGAGCAATGGCATACGAAACTTGCAGCACTCGAGTTGAATCATTATTCTGAACCAGTTTATTTTTATTTCAAGGGTGATTCTTACTGCCTCTGATTGGCTAAACGTCCGGCCTGCAGGCCTACGATGGGGCCTCAATCGAGTTTAACTCGAATTCATGACAGTTCGTCCAATCGAGTGGTGGCTATAATTGGAACTAACTAAGATCGAATAATTTCTCTAAAAATTAAGTAATTAACATTTCAGAAATTTAAATTGTTTATAGTGCTAATCTTTGCACTTAAGATTGAACATTAAAATATGTAGAAAAAGTGCGAAAAGATTGTCGCCGCTGTGGGAATCGAACCCACTTCTTCGGTCTTTTTCTACATATTTTAATGTTCAATTAACATTTTATCTAAAAAATATGTTATAACCGTAAACATGGAACATTTGTCTGTGCCGTAATAGGCCGGATACAGTTAACGGATTTGATAACGCACGATATAGATTTCTAGTTTCGATTCAGTTCAGGAGTAAGCTTTTCAAATCGAGTTCGAATCGAAAACAAAAAAAATCGCATAGCATTGCTTCGAATGCTAAATAACTATAGTTAGTTATAAAAAGTAAAATGACTGTAGTTGCACTCAGGAATACTGAGTTAAAATTTATTTTCCTTGCAATAAGTTGTGAATCTGTTTAAATCTTCCTGGAACATCTCACAGTCTTTTTCAGAATTAAGAGATTTATATTCTTTCAAATCGTCCACGTGTAAGACAAAATCGGTGTTTTTAAAAGACATTTTAATGTCATTTATATATATATACTGGGCCCACTTGTATTTATATAATAAATAGAAGTGGTTCCAGTATCAACCCCTGGGGAACACGGATAAACGAACCTAATAGTTATCGGTTAATATTTATGCCACTTACTTCAGTTGCCTCTGATGCCGCCCCAGAGGCAGTCAAAGTGTCTACACCATGGATACTACTATTCCAAACGAGGGCATTGCCTTTCTCACAAAAATCAAAGTCAAGCCGTCGTATGGGTAAAACCCATACGACGGCTTGACTTTGATCTCTTTAATCTACCATAGTCCTGCTACAGGGCTTGTAAATATTTGGAACGTTGATGGAGACAAGAGCTCTGCGGATGACATCACTCAGGGAACCGTGGCGGGAAAAGCCAGCACTTTTTTGACAAGACAGCCCGTGGTCACCATATTTATCTATATCTATACCACAACGGCTTTGGTGTGGTTTACACATCGGTGCACCGGACGGATTCCTACAGCAATAAGCATTCATGTAATTCTCCCTAAGCTTTCATGGCTTAGAAATGGGCCCAAGTGGCTTGATGGTAAAACGTAAAGCCAATAATTCTGGTCTTTGGATGAGACGCCCAGAAAACGGCCATTTTATAAAATAATCCTGTACACTCTCCACTAAAGTAACATGTCTAACTGTTTTTGTGGGTTAATGGGTTGGAAATTTTCGTTGGAGCAGATAGACAGGCAAGATATCCTTACCTCTTCAGAACACGAAAAGTCTGATATGTGATTTAAATTATGATTGAATATTTATTTTGATCGAATTAAATGGCTCTTTTCAATTTTTGCAGTTGATTTCGTGTCCAACAGGACTTATATGTATGGTTTCAACTATCAAAAAGAAAGTGCTATCTATTTAATTTTTAACAAACTAATGGAGGTATTATCACCGTAGGCTTACTTAACATGACGACGAGTTTATCGCTTGTTGTTTGTCATTAGTCGGGTACAATCTATCCACGCAAGTCCCGTGTCGACTTTCTATACTAATTGCGTTTGTCTCGACAGTTATGGTCATATTACTGCTTTAAATAGCTATTGACCATGCGGTTTTGTCACTTATGTAATTGGTCTAAAATTATTTAGCGGTACAGTCGTGATAAAAAAACTTTGACAATTGTTTATTATTATTTTTCTTTTATAAATACTTATTTTATTTACTTTTAATTATGTATACTTACCATACGTATTTATTTATTTAACTTTCCACGTCCACCCGACAATGTCACATCGTATTTTTTTTTAAATATATTTATCACCCTGAAATTCCTTTCCATAATTATTTAACTAGTTTTTCATTATTATATTTAGTAAGCGCTGATAGCTCATTGTCCAGACGCTCGCTTTTATTTCCATATACTCGAGCAACAACCCTAGTTCGACCACCCAATATCGGCACGAATGAAATTGTTAAGTTTAAGTGTTATCTTACGACGTGTTCAGCGGTGAAGGAAAACATCGTGAGGAAACCTGCATATTTTTTTTTAAATAACTAAATAAAGATATGTGAAGTCCGCATGTCCGTGGGGTCACGTGGTGGAGCATGCCCTACTACCCTCTGTTTGCCATATACAATTTTTTCACCAGACGATCGATACGTGACCTAAATCATTGACCCTTTTTTAACCGACTTCAAAAAAGGAGGAGGTTTCTCAATTCGACCGTACATATTCTTATTTTTTTATGTGTGTTCGTGGATAACTTCGTCGTTTATGAACCGATTTTGATGATTATTTTTTTAACGAAACGGAGATATCCCAAGGGTGGTACCATGATAAGGAAACCCGGATCTGATGATGGCATCCCAGAGAAATCGAGTGCCATCATTGAATGTTATAGGTATTAACAATGTTTTTAACTTTCTGATTGAAGTCGGTTTTTTTTTTTGAAAAAAATTATTCTGTTTAGCATAATCAGTGTAGCCTACAGTCCGGGTACTCGCTTTTATTTTAATATATGTATACATGAACACCGCGAGTTCATATGTGGGCGCCATAGAAAGATTCGGTGCTCTATACCACGGCAGTTAAAAAAGAATCGGGTGTAAAGGTTTACATACTTTATAAATAAAAGAAATGTTTCGAAGACATTTGAAGTTCAATCCACAGACACGTCGCATTCTATACATTTACAGCAGTGAGACAAATGTTTAATTTAAGAAACGTTAAATTAGAAGTTTAAAAGGGTTCCTATGTAATTACTGTTAAATAATGGATTAAAAAATCCGACAAAAACACTTTTGTCCCCGACTGTACCTGCCACAACGGCCATGGCTTGCACTTTCTCTGACTGCGCCAAGTGTAACCTGTTCCGTAAGCGATTGAGATTACATTGCATATTTTTGTGTATATTTAACTATTGACTAACTGACAGTCAATTGGATGGAAAAATATTCCAGTTCTGTTTCCTGATGCATTATTAGCGTACTATGATGGCTAATCCATTCTATATAAGTATATATTCATTTATTTTTTTGGTTTTTTTAGTTTATATTTTTTTTATTATTATATTAACATTTCTTTTCAAGGTAAACAGAGCAAACCCAACTTGAATTAAATTATAAAAATTATACCGAGTATCCTTTTTATATAAATTAACGCAATTTGATAATGAAGTTATAATTATTTTTAACAAGAAACAATCGAAGCGAATTATTAATATAAATTTTCTACTCAGGATGAAGCTTTAATAGTAAGGACTGACAGCAAAAACATCACTTTAAGTAAAACACAGCTTTTATATAATGTCGATGTTTTACACGTGCCAATATTGTAAAATATTAATTGTTTCATTAAAATATGTAGAAAAAGTACGAAAAGATGTGTGGCAATCAGCCGTTTAGCTCAGTGGCTAGATCTTAAGCAATAAGACAATCTTAAGTGCAAAGGTTAGCACTATAAACAATTTAAATTTCTGTTAATTGTTTCATTTAACATCATGTGTACTTATTGAGGCCGCTATATTATTTGACAACTTCATTATATCTTACTAATAGACGCTACCCTTTATTGAAATAAAAGTATCGATTTATATTAAGTAACCTCAATTTTTATGGATCAAGTCGATAACAATGTGACAAATATATATCACCATATAGGCATATATACCATCATTATGTGTTAAAACATTGCAATTGCATTTATTCAAATCTTCAATGTAAAAATCTTCCTAAAGTATCGAAAGAAACACTATGTGTAACCTAGATTAATTAAGACGTGCTAAGCCAAGCTAATTAACATATTAATACTAACCGGAAGGCGTTTTTACGTGGAATTCAACTTTTGAATCAATCGATAGCGATTTGCCGCGACACAATCGTTCATTCACGGCCGTTGATTATTCGGTAAT